GCCTGGTCAACCTCTGTTTTCACTGAAAGACTGACACCCCATTCCTCCAGTCTGTAAGGGGGCCTCCACTTGACATCATTGCTGCTACAAACTGCTGTCCTAAAATTCTGGTTTACTGTTTCTCTCTAAACTAAGAATGAAACATTTCACTTTAGTTTTTTTTAAGATTTTATTTCTTTATTTGACAGAGAGAAAGAGAGAGAGAGCACAAGCAGGGAGAGGGAGAAGCAGACTCCCTGCTGAGCAGGGAGCCCCATATGGGGCCTGATCCCAGGATTATGGGATCATGACCTGAGTCTAAGGCAGACGCTTAACCGACCACCCAGGCGCCCCTGAAACATTTCACTTTAATAAATACGTGTGTGTCTTCTCTGGGCCAAGCAGGCATGGGGACAAGAAGTACAAATATGAATTAAATACAGTTTCTGCCATTCAGCACCTCAAAATCCAGTGAATCAGAATATTCTTAAGTAATTAGATAGTGTGATTCATGCTATACTATTGATGTGAGCAAAGAGGCTGATTCACATATTTCTAGAATATTAAGATCTTTAGAATTATAACCCTAATGACTAGATTTTTCCTTTTTTTTTTTTTTTTTAAGGATTTCTATAGAAGTGGGAAAAAGTCAGTGATGTAGGTCTGTCTTGGAGCCTACTCCAAAAGTTGCTGTGCTGGGTATAGAAGGTTGGCATTCACATCTATTCCTACCTGCTTCTAGTATGCCTTCATGTACAGAACAAACTGGAAAGCTAAAAACACTTCCTAGATTCCATTCCAACTAGAGTTCTAGATGTAAAATTAGAGTCTGGCAAGTAGATGAACTTGTCTGAAATTTCAAAAGCAGATGTGAGTCACAGGCCATCTCCCTGCTATTTTTGGCTGTTTGCTGTTGGGAGGGAAGGTCCAGGAGATGCCAGTCCTAGTCTTCAGAACTGTGGGTGTGGGGAGGGACTTAACAGCCGTCCGTGGTGACAGCCAGACTCAGCATTGTCATGTCATATCACCAGCTCTGTGGCTGTCAAGAAGCAGTTGAGGGAGGTGGTGAACATATTCTGTTCCTTGTCCAGGCAGCTTCCAGATCCCAGCTTCCTCTGGGTCACAGCTACAGTGGTGTTCTTGAACTCCATAGTTCTTGGAGGGCCTTCAGATTGTAGCAAAAATAGTACATTCCTCAGTGGTTCATTTGCTAGTGTTCTAGATGTCATTCCTGGAGGCCCAGTCTAGAACCTGCACTTCTAGCCCTTTCAACATTCTCTAGCCTTTAAATAATTCACTTAATTCCCTGTGTAAAAGCTCTTCCTGTTTAAAATACCTGAAGTGGTTCCAATTTTCTGTACTGACTGATTAATATGTTTGCTATAGGGCCTTGGTCACCTAAGCTGGATCTCTTCCATTTCTTTTGATGGGAAATGAAACCATGAGATTAGATTCAGGGGTTTGCAGTGATGTGAATGCCTTCAGTGAGACTCCACCCTCTGCAGTTGCCATAGACCCTCCACCCCCCCCCACATTTGAGTTTGTTACTCATTGACTAGATTATCTCTGAATTCTCTTGCTCTACATGTAACATAAAATACTTCTTCACTTAAAACATCTACAGAATATGTTCTGTAACAAAGGATTGCTGAATATCTATTTACTATTTACTAGCCCTGTTGATAACTGGTAGGCCAGTGACTCTTGGTCAGTACACAAACACCAATGATAGAAGAGATCTTTCCTCTGGGAGAAAAGGTTTTATATCTTTTTCCACACAAAGCCTAGGAGCATCGTATGTGGGAAAATAGAGCTACTTATATATGCACTTGTGTAATGAGGAAATGTTCTCAGTATTTTGTAGTCATGTGTCATACATGTTAAGAAGAGTATAATTGTGATAAGTTTTAAAGAGTTTTTAACAGCCTTCTAAAGTCATTGAGTATCTCTTGTCCATATAATAAAAGCTCTTTACCTTTTCTAGAAATCTCTTTTATTTTTCTACAGTTTATATGAAGGATTAAAAGGCTTGAATTTGGCAATGTCCCTTATCTGTGCTTTTCAGTAGAGTATTTGTATGCTTTTTTCTCAAGAAAAATCTTATAAAAGGAAGATAAAACATGGGGGGGTACTTTATTGGGACTATGTGGTGTACTTAATACTATATTAAGATTTTCTGTGACATAGCCATTATCACCATTTACTGTTGGAAAAAAACCTATCCAGACTGGCTAAGTAACTTGCCCAAAATGGCCCAACTAGGAGGCAGTGACCCAAGGATTTACATTCAGGGTTTTCATCTCCATTTTCCTCTGACTGCTCCACATTTTTGCACCATTATCCTCATTATACTCTAATTAATATAAATGTGCAAAGATTTCCCTACATGCACTTTCCTTTTCTTTCCTCATCCCTTAATCATGTGGTTCTTCTGCCTGTAATGGTCTTTATTATTTTACAAGGCTAAGTCATCTTTCAAGATTTGATTCAAGTATCACTTGACCCCTTGCCACGCTGGGCAAGACCTCCTCTCCCTGTTCAACTCTGCACCTGCACTTTTCCCACCATAATTAAATTACCTGAAGGTAATACTAACTGTTATAATAAACTCAAAAATCTCAGTACCTTAACATAGTAAAAGCTTATTTCTACTCATGTAAAGTCCAATCAGGTGTTCAGCTGATGGCATTCTACTCAGGGATTGAGGAACCCAAATTCTCCTTATGTTATGGCTTTGTCATCCCCTAAGACCTTAAAAGTTCTTAGTTTCCAGGCATTGGACGGGAATAGAGAAGGTATGTGTTGTATTGCATGGAGGTTTCTTATAGGTAAGGAATAGAAGTAGCATACATTACTTATGCTCACATTGCCTTGGCCACACCTCAGTGACTCACCACAAGGGAGGCTGGGAAATGTCTACTGTGTGCCCAGGCAGCACAGGAAACTGGTTTGATGAAACATACTAGTCTCCTTCCCTCCCTGAAGAATGGAGACTACATCTCAGTAATCTTTGTATCTCTTGTGCTTTACACACCACAGAAAATCAGTAAAAGTCTAATGAACTTCACTGACTGTGAAGGGTTGGAGTTGCTATCTCATGTGCCTAATATCAAAACTCATTCTTTATTATGGTTGTTCAAGGAATGATCTATATCATTCTCTGACTAGGTTGCAACCTTTGAGTGTGGGAACCATGTCAGACTGTTCACTTTTTTTTTTTAGTGTTTTTTTTTAATTGAAGGATAGTTGACACACAATGTTACATTAGTTTCAGGTGTGCAACATAGTGATTCAACAAAGTCTATAAGTTATGCTGTGCTCATCCACAGATATCATCTGTCACTACCATCTGTCACCATACAACATTATTGCAATGCCATTGACTATTCCGTATGCTGTACCTTTCATCCCTCAGACTGTGCATTCTTGAATCCTTACAACAAGGGCTAAAATCTGGCAAGAGCTTAATAGATGTTTGTTGAATGAGTGAATGAGTCCTCAGAGAGAAAAAAGAGGGACGGAGTTAGTCTACTTAAAGTTAGAAAATACTAATTGAGAAAGTGACATTTCAGTTAGATCTTGAATAACTAGTAGAATTTTACCAAGTAGAGAAACCAAAAAAATGAAACCCAGGCAGTGGTAGTAGTGCTGTTTTGTTGTGGTTTTATTTGCTTCATGAACAAACAGAAAACAATCAAATGTTTATAAGCTCAACTTTATTTTTATTCGGCATTCAAATACTACAACGAACTTCAGGGATAGGGAAGGAAAAATATATAACCTTACATTCTATATAATCATTCTGTTGACTAAAAAAAAAGGCACTAAAAACCTTGGCATTGATTTTTTAGCCACTAAAATATTATTTTCTGGATATCTTTGAGAAATATCAATACAGAGGCAGTGCTCTGATTGTTCATCCTCGAGGAAGATTTTACACCGTGTCCAGAAGCTAGGGAAGCACTATAAGCCAAAGGTTCTTCATTACTGCTCATCAGAGTTTCTCCGAGCTGACTCTGCATCAAAATCACCTGTAGTATTGGTTAGGCTGCTTTTGGTGGCAGGTAACATGATATTCTGCCAAAATTGCCTTTGAAAATACAAGTTTACTTTTCACACACAAGATGTCTGGAGGTCAGTGTATCCAGGGTTTGTTCAGTAGCCCAGTGATATCAAGGTTTTTAGGTTGCTTTCCATGAGCTAATTAATCTTGACTTTTTCTTCATGGATAAATGATGGCTGCTAGAGTTCCAAGAAACACAGTCCCCGTCCTCAGCTCCATCCCCTACCACACACACATGCACACCATTTAAAGACAAAAACAGGAGATGAAAAAATAAATACATACATACATAAATAAAATTAAATTTTTTAAAAAGGAGAAGGTTTTTGCCTCTTTTTTTGGAATAAGGAAGATCATATCCAGTGGAGACCAACAGCCTTGCCCACAGATTTCATTGACGAGAAGTGAATCATGCTCAGCCCTAAACCAACAGCTGGCATAAAGGAATGGTGTTACAGAGACTGATTAAGACCAAGCATGATTTATCCCTAGGGGTGGGGAAGGTACACACTGGCATACCTGAGTAATGGCTCTTAGTAGGTAATAGGTTGTGTTGCCACACTTGGAGAGATTGACTCTCTGGAACTTCTGATTTCAGTAGGCCTAGAGGTAATATTTTAAACTTTCAATTAAATGCACTTGTCCTTGATAGGGAGAGAAATTAGAAAGGAGAGAAGCAAGTATTGGGTCCCTTCTTACCTAGGAATAAGTTCCTTTTATTCATATCTCATTACATGGTGTTTTATTTCACAATGATTCAGCCAAATCACTGTATCAGTTAACCAAATAGAATAACAGTTTTCCTTTGATTACCTGGTCTCGTGTGGTTGGCACACCTGACACTTTCAGATAAGGTCATTTTGTTCAGCGGAAACATTCTTAGTGATTTTAGTAATTAATACAAGGAAATTTTAAGTCCCACCCTTCACTTGACCTGAATTTCTCACCGCTGGATAGGTATCCTTTTGGGGATTGAACATTAGATCAGAGTTGATTAGCAGAGTCCAGAAACTGGAAGGTTTCTGTATGTTCTACAAAGACATACTTATATCAGACTGGAGAACCTCCACTTTCAACATATGAGTGGATAAACATCAAAGGTAAGAATTTTTATTGTCATCATTACAGAGTACTTAATGAACAGTCATGGAGATGTTCTTTCAAATGTATGAATATAGCACATACAGTACTCCAGCCATGTGTATAAATTCTCATTAAGATTAGCCTATTAAGTGTTGGTCTGTCCCCAGCTCAGACAGAAAATAACAAGAATTACCAGACTTTATCTGTGTAATGATTCGTTAACAGTAATTTAGCTGATGGCAGTAAGCATATTTTACTTGACCAAGAGCCTATGGACATTCACAAATTGAGAGTTCTTTTATTTCCTCTGGAATATTACAGAAAACACTTTTAAACGTTTAGATTAAAAAAATAATCTGAAAAAGAGAAGGGTGATTTAACAGCCATCTTTCTGTATACGAAAGCATATTTACAGAAGTGAGGCTTTCAAAATGTGCTTCACTTGCCAGGAGGAATAGGGGTCAGTGGACAGGGTTCCTGCAGCTCCATCTTTATTGGTCCCATATGTTGGATTTCAGGATAGGGTTTTATTTGATGAAAGATTTCTTTGGGCTTAAAAAATATTTGAAAACCGCTATAGAAGATGTTAGGCACTTCCCCATCTTCTTTGAAAAACACAAAAACAAAAAACAAAATACCTTAAATTGTAGCAGTGGGATTAAGTTATCTAAAATGAAATTACCAGATTTTATCTCTGAAAAATATTATTACAGAGGAAAGCTTATCATTTTCTTTTCTCTAAATCTTTAAAAATTATATAAGTTTTTAAAAATGTATTATGAATTGCATAAGAAAATCTTCCTATTGTAAAAATCCTAACAATGCAAAAATATAGAGAATAAAAATGGAATTCCAGCCACTCTAATTTCATTTCCTTCCCCAAAGGCAACTACTATTAACAGACTTTTCCTATTTATTTACATACACATGTATGTACATAATTGCTCATATTCTTGATCTGTTATTCTTGATCTACAATTTTCTCTCAAGTTTAGAGGAAGGGATTTAGGAGACTGTTCTTTTCAAGTCCACGGTTCTATGATTTTGGTGGCATATGTCCCTCGTATTGCAACATGAAGCTGAAATTAAGCCAATATGGTTTCTAAGCATGTAGATCAATTCTGTAGGAAATTCTGTATACTGAGAATGTTAAAGAGAGGTTTGAGTGGCCAACAACCTTTGCATATGTTTTTAGAAAACCCTTGGGCTACTAACCTAGCAAGTAGGCAATCACAGCAGTCATAACAGCCATATCCTTTGGCTTAGGTCAAACCACATTCTTCTACTGAAATCTATATTTGAGTCACAGGACTTTGATTAAATTAACATGATTTACTGAATTATGGAATCTGTAAAATTCCACCATTTGACATGAGATTAATTTTTTCTAATATGGTTTACTGTTGTGTATCGATCTGAATAACACAACATCTTGATTGAGAAGCAGAAAAAAAACTTGGTTCTGTTTATTGGCACTTTTAGTATTTATCTAAAATGTGCTCTGCCTTCCTACTTCTCAGCATCATTTTTTAGATACAAAAGTCTCTCAAAGTATCTTAGTTTAACTGAATTTTTTTAAAAGGAGAGCTCCTTAAGCCTTAGAATCTTAAGGCATATTTAAATGGCAAGTTGTCACTTACCCAATTAATAATTCAGAATATGTAAATAGTATTTGTCATGAGAACAGGTTACAAGTTCTCATTTCATTTATTTTGCCACCAATGTTGTGTAACCTAAGTGGATTAGTAAATTTTTTTTGTTTATAATAAACTGTGTAACAGTCATAACAATGGGAAAGAGTAAAGCTGAAGATAATACAAGATAAAAAATAAAAATATTTTCTTATAGGATGTGTTTCCAAACTTCTTATGGAAGTTTGGAATTTACAATTAATTATAGCCAAACTTACAATTAATTGTAGCCAAATATGGTGGATTTTTAAACAAAATATTACAGCAAAAAATATAAAAGTATAATGCAGTGATTTGGTAGAAATGACATGAAGTCAAAGATATAAAGAATTCTCTCATTTGACAAATTTTTATACAGTTTTACTATGAGACTTGGCTGATACTGGCTGTGTTCATTGAAAATAGTTATTTAGCTTCTCTAGGCTTTAGTTTCTCATGTGAATATTAAAGAGATTGAACCAGGTAATATCTAAAGGCCTTTCCAACTTTTATTATTCCATTAAACTGTGATTCTTAATTACTAGGAAACCATCTACTTTCTCCATATTTCCCCACTTTTTATTTTTCCATTCAAGACACCCAAGCATCTCAGTTTAACAGCTTTCTTGAAGCTTTACTGGGATGAAAGATTTGAAAAGACTTTAATGAACACAATGAAAAAACAATTGTCTCATTTAAATAACAATATTGAAAATGAAGCATTTCATTTAAATTAACTTTCTGGATAACTAACACCTATTTTATTGAATACCACATTTTTTTAAACATTCTCTTTACATTTCTAAGTCATACTATATACTTTAATGACTCTTTTTTTTCCTCAAAGATTCTATTTATTTATTTGAGAGAGAGAGAATGAGAGATAGAGAGCATGAGAGGGAAGAGGGTCAGAGGGAGAAGCAGACTCCCCGCTGAGCAGGGAGCCCGATGTGGGACTTGATCCCGGGTCTCCAGGATCATGACCCGAGCCGAAGGCAGTCGCTTAACCAACTGAGCCACCCAGGCGCCCTACTTTAATGACTCTTAAAACAGAAAATATTAGCACATCATTTTTTTTTCTTTTCGTTTTCTTGAAGATGTAAAATCACCTTCCTAAATATCTGTTATTATACAGGGGATCTTTCAGGGCAATTCAGGTATAAAGGTTCTTACTGAGACTTCATTTGGTGGCAATGACAGAAATCCAACTCAAACTGGTAAGGAATTATTGGCTTACCTATAACTGAAAAGGAGCTGCTTCCAGGTGTATCAACAATGTGGTTATTAATTTGAGGCTTTCCTTTTCTCTCCTTCCATATTAAGGATCTGCTTTGCTCTGTGGTCACTTCATTCTTTGGAAGGCTTCTCTGTACATCACAAGGATTTTCAATAGTGAGTCTGGGCTTAGCAACCCCAATGGAAAGAGAGCTCTTTCTCAATGGTTCCAGGGAACGCATTAAAACTGACTCTCATTAGCCAGGTATGGATCACATGCTCATGCCTGAAACAATCAGTGTGACTGGGAAAGAATTTCTCTCTTTGGCCAGGCCTGTCCTCATCTCCAGAGCATTGGTAGAGCATGGGGATTGGGAAGGTGAGGAGGACATGAGTTTCATATGAACAACATGGATGGAGAATAGAGGAGATGGGGATTAGACAAAAGAAAATTAGTATGCTGGTACCAAAAAGTCAGGAAGAAAGATGCTTGGCAAGCCAAAACTGCAAATAAGGAAAAGATATTTATCCCCACATTTTATTGCCTTAAATTGCTATCTTTCCATCTCTTTCCTGTCAAGTATCACTCATGCTCCTCTCAATTTGCTTCTATCGCAATCCTCTTCCTGCATTTTAACTTACAACATCTTATCTTCTGAGGGTTTGGAAACCAGATGAGCAAAGTCATTTGAATTGTTTTAGAAGTAAGAGTTGGTGAGCCCTGAGGGAGTACTTGAGAGCTTCTCTGTAAGTAAGGAGTATAAACTCTCTACTTTTTAATGGGTTTCATGACGTATCTTAGACTCCTTAAAAGGTCATTTTTGCATATTTTCTGATTCCTTTGACAAAACTGTCTTCTTGGTAGGGGATACACTATTGTAATTTCAAGACTCAATGACTATGAACAGTAAGTGCCATGAACATGGTTGCTTTAAAATAAAGGCTACATTTTTTCATTTTCCTAAATTTAAGTGGGTTTCTAAAGTGAGACAGGTGATATAAGTGTTCTTTTAGAAATGGAAATATAGCAGAGAGTAAACAATCAGAACTGGCCAGTTGTAAATTGTTTTCCTGGGGTTACTAAATACTAGTATTTTATTTTACCTTTTCTCTCTGCAGTAACTCTCTGATCTCAAATAAGTACTTTGGTGTCCATGGTGGAGATTATAGGAGAATAGGGAATTTTTTGGGAATGCAAAAACTATATAAATTCCCACAAATAGCATATACTGAGCAACATGCCAAATTTTGATTGTTTACATTGGAAGAGACTTAGAATAACTAATAAAATAAATTTTTAAGGCTTCATTTTAGCCAATAGATTGTCTATTAAAAATAATCATTTATACTTGTTGGCTGTTTAAAAATATTCTTCATAAATGGCAGAATTGGCTGATTTTGGAAATTTAATAAAGGAGGTGATTCTAGACACTGCCCAAGAGTTCCTATGTAATTCTACTAACGAGATAGATGAAGAAATGACAATGATGAGTGTTACATCCACCTCAAGAAGTTAGCCTTGAAAGAAAGAGGTAAAAGGCACTATCAAAGAAAATCAATGGGATTAAGTCATAAATTCTTCAAGTTGGGAGGGACCTTGTCCTACTTAATAAAGAAAACAAAAAGAATCATAGAGGTTTGTATTAGGGAGAAGGATTTGAGTGACTCATAACCACCACTATTGAATGTTTACCATGTGCATGGTTGGAACCACTCTTACCTCCATTTTATAGATAAGGAATTAGTTACAAGGAGGCTAAGAATTTTGGTATATGATGGGACTAGACTACAGACCCAGCTTTGTTCAACTCCAGACCCAGTAGACATCACCACTTACTATATGAGGGGGTCATTCTCTACACAGGGTGAAGGCCAAGTGCCATGATGTGGAACATGATATCCTAACTCTCCAGCCTCATTTCCATTGCCCTCAGCCTCCCACCGCATGCTTCGACAAAGTTTCCCCTTACATCCCACTGGCTTCCGTACCTCCATACCTTTAAGACAAGGGTTCTCTGAACCCAACATTTTTCCTGTCAAAATGCCATTCTTTCTCATGAGTCTAAATTTTGGAATGAGTTTATAAATTTTAAAAATCATATCTACATATATACATACTATATCACTATATGTACATGAGGTTTTTTGAGATGCCACTCTGGCAAACATTGTATTTTTTAAGGAAGAAAAATAGTGGTGGTGGTGATAATGATGGTGGTAGTGATGGAAAGGATATAATTTTCTTTGGAATATTAAATGCAAACATCTTGGCACTTTGTTAAACAGAAAATGATTCCTTGAGGCAGGGGTCCTGTCTAATTAATCCTTGTCTTTATGGCCTAGTATAGTGTGTGGCACATATTAGGTATGCAAATGTGTTAAATTAGATTATCCCTTCTCCCACATAATTTTCTCTTTGCTTCTACCAGGGTTTATAGTTCATGCCTCCATTAAAATATCATCATATTTGTTGCATTAGGAATAAGTTTGATTACTAGTAACAAGAATACTTGACTAACAGTGGTTTCAACAATTACTTCAAAGGTTGGCATCCAAGATTGAGGGAGCAATTCAGGGATATTGTCAAGGAACCAGCTCCTCCTTATCTTAATTATTCCCCTTAGTATAGGGCTTTTTATTCTCATGGTTGAGAGATGGCCACTGGCCTTCCGCATGGTGTATCTACATTCTAGGGAAGAGAAAGAGAAATGTTAGAGGACAAAGAGTAAACAGTATGATCCTCAAAAAGCCTTGCCTTATTCTCTGGGAATGAAAGCCCTCCCCTGGGACTCTCACTTATATCTCATTACACAGAACTGTGACACATGGCCACCTAGAGCTGCCAAAATGAATAGGAATTGGAGTTTTTGGCTTTTCAGCCTATAGCATGGGAAGCCAAGGGCAAAGAGATTTAAGTAGTTGTTTATGGAGTCAACCTATAGGTCTGTCCTACAAGTTTTTTTGTTACTTCATGTAAGTTTATTTTTCTTGGAATATTGTCAGCCTACAGAGAACAAATAATATGTTTTAGTAATCTTCAAATTACCCACAGTGACTGTCAAGAGAGTAGATGTCTAAGACATTGTAGCTATTCAATCAATGTTGTATTATTTTCACTTTAACTTAGAAATATGAACCAGGCAGGAATTAGTGATTCTAGTTTCTCTGAAAATGATGGAATCCATAGATTTCTCTTTGGTGACTCATTTCAACATTGAAAAATTGCCTGGAGCTTTCCTGTTTCATCAAGTTGGCTCATTAGAGAGAACAATTTAACAGTAATATTGCTTGGAATATTTGAAGAATAACTCAGAAAACAGGGTGGGAAAGAAATATAAAAATATTAACAAGGCCTTTTTCAAGAGAGTTAAAGGTGAATAAGAATTAGATACACTATATTGTAAGTATAGATAAATAAGAATACAATACAATATATTGTAATCAAAGAAAAGATTAGCAGTTGAAACTTAAGATTAGGGACTCCTGGGTGGCTCAGTCAGTTGAACGTCTGCCTTTGGATCAGGTCATGGTCCTGGGGTCCTGGGCGAGTCCCCAGGCTGGCCTCCTAGCTCAGTGGGAAGCCCACTTCTCCCTCTGCCTGCTGCTCCCCCTGCTCGTGTGCTCGCTCACACTTTCTCTCTCTCTGACAGATAAATAAATAAATAATTTTTTAAAAGAAAGTTAAGAATAATCCAATTTAAAGTATTTTAGACATTCAGAGTTCTAAGGGAAAAAATAAGTGCCATTTATTCATTTAAACTGCTCAAACTGCTGCTTAATTCATTCATGTAAATTTCCAACTTGTTCTATATCTATACTATTTCTCCTTCAGAACAGATCCATTCCTCTTCCCTGTGTCATCTTATTTCTAATATAAATCATGGGGGATGAAGACAAAGTAACTGAACGTGAAGATTTGGAACCATCCACAGGAATGGATCATGCAGCTTCTACATATCAAGAAACACAGGTAAACCTATGACCAAATTTAGAACATTCCAACCATTTCCTTAAGGAAGGGACTGTATATTTCCAAATATATGATAAAATTATATTCTCTTCATTATCCATCACTCAGTTAACAATTCTCCCCATTCTTAGTCCCCAGCCTCGTACAGTATGCGTGACTACCAGTTTTCCCAGTAGTCATTAGCAGCTCGACCCACATGAGGCTGGAAAAATAGAGAGCTTGTGAAATGCTTTGTGTTCCCAGCCTAACCCCTGGAATGGTTCTGGTCCCCCCCCCCCTTTTTATCACTTAAATTCAAGTAGATGAATGAATCTGAATCTGTTTTCACCACAAATAGTTCTCTTTTTCTGGCCCACTTTGATATATTTACCAACTATTGCCTTGAATGATATCTTAAATAGGCTAATTTTAAACCCAGTACTACAAAACAAAATGGAATACTATGTGACTCAAGCATTTATAATGTTACCAATAGGGACTTAATGGTAAATACTCCTAACATAGTTCTTGTTCCAAGCATTTACTCATTAGCTACTAATATAGCTATGCATTTCCACTGTAAAGTGTTAGCCTTGATTCTAGCAATAGAAATTTGATCTGTGATGTGATGGCTCAATTACTATAAAAATGTACAGCAAATATACAGTTTTAAGGATTCTTAAATTACCTTAAACACAGGAGGGAACAGTTATGAGCTCCAAAGCAACAGATGCCAAAGAACCAACAGAAGGAAGTAACCTCCTGAATAGCAGTGAAAAAAAGCTACAAAAAATACCAACTGAATCAAATAATTTGCAAAGACTGAGACGAGCATTTTCTTGTCCTCCACATGGTTATTTGGATAGAGGAATAACAAATGGTATGTAATTGGTAAAAAATTAATTCAGAAAGAGAGGGTAATAGATAACATTGTTATAATGAGAGATTCCAAAATAATATGGTTTAAAGGACAGAAAAAAGTTTACTTCTCTCACACACAAAAACTACTAGGTGAACAATTCACGTGGTAGATGGCTCTGCTCCACAAGTCATTGAGGGGACCATGCAGACGGGTTCTACCATCTTCAACACAAGGCTGTTGCCACTACCATTCCAGCTAGCAGGCAGAGGAAAAGAGCAGAGATAAGGACATTTTCCTTTTTTGTATCTGAGTAATTTCACAGGATTACATTAGGACTCCAATGAGAAAAATGATTAAGAAATCACTTGTAAACAGAAAAGCACTACATAAATATCAGTTTTAATTATTATTAAATAATGCAACTAATGTTTGAACAAACACAGCTTAATTTATACTTTCAAATGAATCCATCATTTTATAAGTAAGGATCCTGATTTCCAATTCAACTTATTCCAGTACAACTACTATTACCTAAAATATTTGGGGGATTTTTCTTTGGGAGTTTATCTCAGCACTATTTCAAATATTGTCTTTGAGGGATGGATTTGGTTTTTGGAGGCAGACAAACAATATTATGATTCAATTTGATGAACAGATGGATGTTCAGATTCAGTAATGCTGTTTTTTGTTCAAAAAGGAAGTTGTGTGTGTGTGTGTGTATTAATTTTGTACATTGGAGGATATGTGGTATAGCAGGAAGAAGGAGAAAGGGTTTGAAAATGATCTGTAAAGGCAAATTTAAATACAATTTCAAAAATTATGTTGAGGAATGAAAGCACTACTGGAGTATATATATGGCTTCCCAAATAAATATGTTGAAGAATATAACACATTTGATCTAAAAGTTGTGTTTACTAAAAAAATCAGACTCGCTTCTTTACTGTTATACTTCATTTGTGAGCTCTGAAAGACATTTTTGCCATTCTCAACTTGGACAATGGAAGCCAAGCATAATATGATATATTTCAGGCTCTACACATGTTTTTAATGAAATTAGCTAAGTTCCAAAATATACACCAGTTGATAAGGCAACTGATAATTTAATACCTGTTCTGTCCTTTTTATTATTTTTTTAAACTTTCACCATTCAAATCATGGCACATATCTATTTAAAATATTTATAGTAAAAACAGGGATTGCATTAAGGAAAGGGTATAAATGAATGATGTGATTTGGAGACTCATTTTTTTAAATTCTCTGATCGTTGTCCATAAAGCTGCCTGAGAATTGGGAACTCATGATATACAAACACCTCTTCACTTGTTTTCCTGTGCCTCTGTTCCTGAGGCTTACAAGACTGCTCTTTTTTTCCCTGTACTCCTTCCTGTGTCCCGTCAGTGTACTTAAGTATTTTTCTTAAGAAGTAGATCTCACATGTGAAAATATGATTTTCCAAAATCATAAATGAGAAGTAAATTACTAACTGAATTAAATCTGATTTAGAGAAACCTTGTAAATGTACATTTACTATATATTTAGAACTGCATTTTGAATATGAGAAAGGAAAGAAACACTAGAGGTTTAAAAGAAAATGGTCTTGAAGTGGAAAAACTAATTCTACCTTCTGAATTTAGTACAAAACTGGTTTTATACTGTGATAAGGTAAAATTTAGTATCTGGCAATTCCTGCTTTCCCATTGCACTTCCCATACTACATAGAAATTTCAGCTCCTACACCCAACTGGAAAATACAGAAGGCTCTTTAGTTATTTCAATGTAATAGCATCATAGTCTACAAAATCTGTAATAATTCTGTGAGGGTTAAAAAATGGGACATTGGATTTGATCTCCAGCAATATGGTAGATGAGACTCAATGAACAATTCTATCACTTATGTCAATGAAAATATCTGAAAACAATATTTTAAGTCTTTTTAAATGTACCTGTTATCTGTCAAGAAAACAGGAACTTGTCAGACACCAAAAACAGTATGACTAGGAGAAATAAATAAGCACTTAAGCTGGCTTTCACTCTGGAGGCTTCTGCAAAATGCCAGTGAACTTGAGATTCACTTTGAGAATCATGAGAATATAGGAGGCTGTGCTTGAGTCTGCCCAGGTTGGGAGAAGTTTCATAGGAGACATCATTCTTCGTCACCCATATTAGGAAGGGGGAGCCCAATGTGATGGTGAATTTGAGGTAAACCTGCCCTGCAGAGGGAGCCTGCAACAAAACCTTATCTGTCTATTCTGTAGTGTTCCGGGAAGAAGGAAGAGTCTCCACTAAAAATGTGTCCCAGATTGTTAAGATTCTAAGCACATGGTAGGAGCAAATTCAGATCCTATCTGGGAAAACACATTCACCTCCAACAATTCCCAAAGATAAAGTTTCAGGAAAGAGCTCACTGTTGCCCAAAAACCCAAAACCAAACAAACAAAAACAAAAATCACAACATACACAAGGAAACAGATTTCAAAAATTTGCATTATCAGAAAATAAAATAAAAAATATTTTCAAAATCTATGAAGTTAAAGAGGAGGTAGGAAATATAAAACAAGTAACTGTTTATAAATGTGAATAGATTTTAATAAGCACCAAATTGAACTTCTAGAAATGACATAGTACAGTAATTGAAATTTAAAACTCAGTAGATTAGGCAACAGATTAAGTGAAAAGAAGATTGATAATCTAGCAAATAGATCTGAAGAGATTACAAAGCAGTACACACGGAAAAAATATGGACAGTATGAAAACTGGGGTTAGGCAAAAGGAGAAGGGACTGTGGCTGTTTAATTATTTAATCGCAGTTCCAGCAAAAGAGAACAGGAAGAATGGCGAAGAGGAAATATTTGAAGAAATAAAAAAGGGATGTTCCAGAATTGATGGAAAACAAAATCCTAAGCAGACTAAAAGGAAGCCATACTGAAATTAAACATAAGTACAGAACATATCACACTTAAATTGCAGAAAACCAAAGAAAAAGTAAAGATCTTGAAAACAGCCAAAGAAAAAGATTTCCCTAAAAGAGACTTAAAAACAATAATGAAAGCCAGAAAGCCAAGGAATAGTATTTTCAAGGAACTGGAAGAAAGTAACTCTCGGCCTGGAAGTGTATATACCCTGGAAAACTATCTTTTAAGAATGAGAATAAAGGTAATTCCAGATAAATAAAACTAAGAATTTACTACCAACAGATCTTCATGAGAAATATAGTATGCTCTTCCACACTGTTTCTGTACCATGAATTAGTTCATATATGATGGTAAATAAGGAATTGTGTCAGTATCATATGAAAATTTGCATTTGTACATAATTTTTCCTGCCACATTTATATTTTGCATCACCAAGCAATAGCGAGTGAATGCAAAATGCACTGAAAAACAAAAACAGACAAAAGAAGATCAGGTATACCACATCTTCTTTATCCATTCATCTCCCAGAATGTAAGAATTCCTTAAGAAAAATGCAGGCAGCCTGATAGAAAATGGACAAAAGACTTGTACAGGCACTTCTTAAAAGTCAATACTTGAATTGCCATAAATACATGGAAAGGTGCTCAACTTTACTGAACTTCAGGGAAAAGCAAATTAAAACCATAATGGCATGTACTATACATTCAAATTCAGTTTTGAAGTAATTGGTGGTAACAGTGTAAATTGGTGTAACTATTGTGGAAAGCCATTTGGCCATATCTACTAAAGCTGGTCCAGCAGTTCCACTCCTGATGTATGTGTGTTCACGAAAATATATGTACAAGGTTGTTCCACTCTGCACAATTCATAATAGTTCAATTTAGAAATAAACCAAAATGTTCATCAAAAAAAAAAAAAAGAAGATCAGGTATATGGTTTCTTACAATTAAAGATAAAGCCTTACTAAAATGAGGACTTTTTTAAAAAGCTGAACTCCTTCAGGCAGTTAGTTGCTGGCTTAGGGGCTTCAAAGACTTTTCAGCTTTCTACACCATTAAACTATCTAGTGAAACCACATGTGGATGTAGAAGCAACAGTACAGATAAAGTAGCAGCCAACACTTGTCCCTCAGTTAAAACAACAACAAATATTTGATTGATGGAGAAAACTATAATCTGGATCAGATTTAGATGGAACTGCTTTCTATTGAAAGCAAATGCTTTCAGGGTTCTACATGTTGAAGTAGTAAGTGTGGTTCCAGGGATTAAGTCCACAAAAAAGAGACTGTGAGATGCAAATGTCAGTGGAGATTTAATTGCGCTGGTGCTTTTATTAGGATTATTACGGTTTTTGTCAGTACTTTGGTCACGAGTTCTGAGTTTTGAGTGGTCTGCCCAACTGTTCACAGGAGTCTTTGTATTTTCAGCGTACAATTTAGTACAACACAGGCTTTTCAAACAAAGAAACATATTTCACATTCTAATAGAAATGCCTCTATTAAAGGAAATTCTTCAGGCAACAAAGTAATTGTCCCAGATTAAAGGGTTGAGTTGCCATAACAAATAATGATCAAATAGAAAATAGATGAGTATGTGGATAATTGTAAACAAACATTGACTATAGAAAAGAAACAATAACAGTGTTTACTTCAAGACAGAACTAAAAATACTGGAATGCAATTGTTCAAGCATTCTCCTATGAAGAGAGTAAAGATAGCCAATGTTACTCTTTTTATTAACTAGTGAATATTTATGGTAAAATTATAAAGAAAAATAGGGGAATGGTAAAAAAAAAATTCAAGATTGTATTTCCTTCTGGTAGTGTAAAAGGAGATGGGAGATGGGATTAGGAAGGGCCATAGGTGGATCCAAAGACACTGGTAATAGCCTACTTTTTAAGATGGTTGGTAATTACCCACTTGTTCATATTACTGATGTTCTTTAAAATTTACACATGGTTATAAATATTTGTATGTATGTTCAACTTTTTTTAATTTTTACATTATACCAAAACCTGCATATGACAAGTTACTGGTAGAAACTAGTTTTCCTGGTTTATTTCAGTTACCATGGTGGTTCTTCTCTGGGCTGTAGTTTGGTCAATTACTGGCAGTGAATGTCTTCCTGGAGGAAACCTATTTGGAATTATAATCCTATTCTATTGTGCCATCATTGGAGGTAAACTTTTGGGGCTCATTAAGTTACCTACATTGCCTCCATTGCCTCATCTTCTAGGTAAGTGCTAAACACTTTCTCTTTTCTTCAAGAGTAAATCATATTTTAAAAATTGCAGTTTGGAAAGCTTTTGAAAATCAACATAAGATATTTCTGTATTTGCTGTGCTGACACCAAAAGCCAATTGTTAAATTTTGAGTTAAACACAGCAATTTTTAAAAATTAAATTAAATTTACAGTTTTAATTTTTACTTAAAATTAAATAACTTGCATTAAAAACAAGACCAATAGATACTCAAAATTGATCACTTCCTAATTATTTTACTGCATTTTCCCCTTATCTGTGCTCTTGATATTATGGAATTAATATATAATGGTGTGCCACTGGCTAGCTCTTCCCAATTGCACATTCGTTGACATCACGTTGGTAGCTTAACATCAACCACGGTAGAAGTAACTATAAGACGGAAATCAGCAAATGCTACAAAACAGGGCTCAATGTATTGTAAGTCACTCACATCATTGACAAAGGACTGAGGGGGGTCATCTGCCAAATCAATATCAGGTGGCCATATCAATCCAGACCACTGGCAAAGGAAACAGTGTCCCAGGGAAGTTGTTTTCACATTCATTTGGAGAATAAAAAATGCTTCCTCATGCCCCCCTAACAAAACTCCAAAAGAAACTCTTAACATATTTTTGAGTTCTTGTTAGATTATTATTTCTTTTGAACTGTGCTCATATCAACACTGTTTGTAATGAAAAATCTGAAAAGTTCCTTAAAGTCCATTAATTGGTCCAAAGTTATAATACTTCCAAACAATGAGATACTCTTGTAACTATTTTTTTTAAAGATTTATTTATTTATTTGAAAGAGAGAGAGAGAATCTCAAGCAGACTCCCTGCTGGGCATGAAGCCTGGTGCGGGGTGTGATCCCACAACCCTGAGATCACAACCCAAACTAAAACCAAGAGTTGGCTGCTCAACCGACTGAGCCACCCAGGCGCCCCAATACTATTGCAACTATTAAAAAATGAGGCACACGCGCATGTACAGAAGCAGGATTAAATCAGTATAGGAACTTTCTGGAAAGGCACAGAAAACCCATAAGAGTGAAAACTGGTGAATCAAGGTCGAAAGTTTGCAGTTGGGGTAAGTCTTGTACTTGTCAGTAATGTTTTAATTTACCACGAGCATGGATTATCCTTATTATTCTTTTAAAAACAACTGTTGTAGGCTAGTTCATACTTGCAAAAATTCTAGAAACACCCTAACGGCAGAATTCAGAATGTAAGAGATCTTCTAGATTAAATGGCAGCGATGAGAGATGCCTGGCAGTGATGCATCCTGGCCTGATGGTGTCTGGAGCAAGTCACAAAAGCTATGCTTGTCATTAGCCTCTATTCTCAGAGCTTACATACAGAACATTGCAGTAAATTTGTTTAATCATTTCATGTGCAGTGCTTGTGAGGACATGCTGAACAGAAGGTACTGCTGGGGAAGAACAGAGGCCAGAAGCCTCAGAGTGTCTGACGGAGAAGTCTTTTCTGTTGTAGGTCATGTGGTATCAGCGAGGGCACAATTCTCTCACAAGCTCCTCAGCTCCCTCAGTCACTGTCAACTACCTACACTTCCCAGAATGTGTCACACTTCATCTTCACGTCTTGGAAAAAACTGCTAACCCATCCAGAAACTTCTCAACTCCCCAGCCCCTTCTTCCCTTCTTTGAATCCCTCTGACTCACCCCTCCTGTCTGAGCTCATATAATACTGCCTTATGCTTCCATAAAATTGAGGTTGGTTTAACTTGCTCCCCTAGAGGCTGAAAGCTTGTTGACATGAAGTACCAAGTTTTTGTTCATTATTATATTTCTAATACCTAGTACAGTGTCTAAAATACTGAAGGTGAGGAGCCTGGGGGGCTCAGTCCATTAAGGGTCTGCCTTCAGGTCAGATCATGATCCCAGGGTCCTGGGATTCAGCCCCTCATTGGGCTTCCTGCTCAGCAGGGAATCTGCTTCTCCCTCTCCCTCTGCCCCTCCACCTCATTCATGCTCTCTCTCTCTCTCTCAAATAAATAAAGTATTTTTTTTAATTTTAAAAAAATAAAATAAAATACTGAAGGCATTAGGTAAATGTTGAATGGCTGAACAAAAGAAGAGTCAGCAGCTGACATGACAGAGCAATGTCTATTTCATCATAACTCAGCTATAAGCCTTTGCAAAGCAAGTTATATATTTTGTATTAAATTATCTGGCTTGAAGATAAAATAGAACCCATATAGGTATTTGTTGATAATTCAGGTAATCTGACATAGCAAATAATTTTAGGAGCTGTTTGCTATTTGCACACAAAAGAGTGACTGAATTGGGCATTGTATTAAAACATTTTGTTTAGAATTTGACCACATTTCTATCCAAATACTGCAACCTATTTGTCCCTTGCAGGTTCAATTGTTTAGGAATTATTAATGATTCTAGTCATTTTTTAAAGATTTATTTATTCATCTTAGAGAGAGAGTGAGGGGTAGGGGCAGAGGGAGAGAATCTTCAAGCTGACTCCCACTGAGTGTGGACCCCGATGCAGGGCTCTATCCCACAACCCATGAGATCATGACCTGAGCTGAAACCAAGAGCCAGATGCACAACCGACTGAGCCACCCCGGTGCCCCTGATTCTAATAATTTTTATCTGCACATTAAAACCTTTTTTTTTTGGCTCCTCTAATTTAACATATTTTAATTTTTTATCAAAAGTTTAGTCCCTTATTTCATCTAGGGGCTAAGCATAAACGATGTGGTTCCTGAGATTATAGGGTAGTCTCTTTCACACCTAAAGTGCCAAAAAAATATCTGTCAGAATGGCTGAAATAAACAACACAAGAAACAAGTGTTGGCAAGGATGCAGAGAAAGGGGAACTGTCTTGCACTGTTGGTGGGAATGCAAACTGGTGCAGCTACTCTGGAAAACATTATGGAGTTTCCTCAAAAAGCTAAAAATAGAACTACCCTACAACCCAGAAATTACACTACTAGGTATTCGCCCAAAGAATACAAAAATACTAATTCGAAGGGATACATGCATCCCAATGTTTATAGCAGTACTATCAACAATAGTCAAATTATGGAAACAGCCCAAATGTCTATCAACTGATGAATTGGTAAAGAAGATGTGGTATGTATATAATGGAATATTATTCAGTCATAAAAAAGAATGAAATCTCACCATTTACAAGGACATGGATAGAGCTAGAGAGTATTATGCTAAGTGAAATAAGTCAGAGGAAGACAAATACCATATGATTTCACTCATATGTGGAATTTAAGAAACAAAACAGATAAACATGGGGGGAAGGCAAATCAGAAAACACTCTTTTTTTAATTTAAATTCAATTAATTAACATATAATGTATTACTGGTTTCAGAGGTCTGTGATTCATCAGTCTTATATAATACCCAGTGCTTATTGCATCACATGCGCTCCTTAATGCCCATCACCCAGTTACCCCATCCCTCCACCTCTCTCCCCTTTAGCAACCCTCAGTTTGTTTCCTATGATTAAGAGTCTCTTATGGAGGAAAACCGACTCTTAACTATAGAGAACAAACTGATGGTTACCAGAGGGAAGGTGGGTGGTGGATGGGTTAAATATGTGATGGGGATTAAGGAAGGCACTTGTAATGAGCACCAGGTGATGTATGGAAGTGCTGAATCACTATACTGTATACCTGAAACTAATATTACACTGTATGTTAACTAACTGGAATTTAAATAAAAACTCTAAAAAAAGAATATAAAAGAGACATGAACTCAAAAATAAGTAAAGTACCAAAAATATTTTCTGTATTTGTATACTAACTAAAGAGTTATTGACTTCTCCATTCTAGGTATGCTGCTTGCTGGGTTTCTTCTCAAAAATATCCCTGTCATTAGTGATAATGTACAGATCAAGCACAAGTGGTCTTCCGCTTTGAGAAGCATGGCCCTGTCTGTCATATTGGTCCGCGCTGGTCTTGGGCTTGATTCAAAGGTATGAAGTGTAAATTTCTAATTGTTGACCAGGAATTGTATTCCTCCAATACTGCTACTATTGGGAACCACTGAGCTTTAGACACTGTGTGACAGTCTCAAGAAGAGAATGGAGTTAATTTCACACAGGACTGACTATTCCCAGAAGATGTCTCATATTCTTTCTTGGAGTGAGGTGGAATTACTCTATGGGGACAGCACTAAGAGTGAACGCTCTGCTTTTCTCTAACAGAGATACAGGTCATCCTTGTAAATAATGGTGATGAGAGAAAGTATTACATTTTTGGTGTGCAAAGCCTTATGCAAGTGTTTAGAGCTAACTATACCAGCTCAAGAAACTGTTTGGTACAGAGGAGGAGTCTCAAATATGCTTATTTTAATGTGATTACTAACATATGTTTTTGAATGAAAGAATGAATCTTCCTGGGGATGAAGATTTTCACCCTGGCCTTTTTATGGGGCCACCAATTATTAAAAAAGCTAATGCTGAGAGTGTTCAATCAGCTAATTTGGGGATTATTGAGTACAGACTCTAGAACATCCTGCCTGAGTTCAAACCTGGCTGTGTAACTTAACCAATTTCATGATCTTGGGCAAATGACTTTAACTTGTGCCTTTTTAGATGAGGACGTCTAAAAATACTGGGAATAATAATATCACTTATATCATAAGGTTGCTATGAGGATTAAATAAGCTATCTCCAAAACACTTAGAACACTGAAATATTTGTTAAAACTCATTACCTGGAAAATTTATGATAATCCAGACATGGTCTGAATACTCAAGAAAAAGTATTTAATGTCATAATCTCTACCTGTCTTTCTAGGATTATTTTAGTATCTCTATTTTTCTATTTCAGGCCCTGAAGAAGTTGAAGGGTGTTTGTGTAAGATTATCCATGGGTCCTTGTCTGGTGGAGGCATGCACATCTGCTCTTCTTGCTCACTTCCTAATGGGTTTACCATGGCAATGGGGATTTATGCTGGGGTAATGATTTTTCTTTGTAATATGAAAATAATGCAGAGATGTTGAGGGCTTTCTCTGATTCCATACAAGAGAATGCATAACAAATTATTTTAAGGACATCAGAAATTAAAACATAGGTATTCCAGCATCATATAAATATTATAACTTCAAAATATACTATATATAGTATATGTCTAACTTTTATAGCAATTATGATTTAAACTATTGAAAAAGTAATATTACTATTACTATTAAACTACTGAAAAAATTTTACCTACACCTGATTCCATGCTGGTGAGAGAAATTGCCATCTCTCACCTCAAAGTCTGTCCAGAGGATAATAAATGTGTCAACAGTTATCAACCCCTAATATTGTTTTTCTCCTTCTGACACCAGACAGTTATGATTAGGTGGTTCTACTGTCTTCCTTCCACTGCCAGTTCTTTGAATGGTTAACAGTCATGAGAAGTAAATAAACGTGAGAAGCACTTAGTAAGAACTTAGTACTAATAAGTAGGCAAGAAGCAAGAAATTCTTACTTCTCATGGTTGAGACTGTGGAGCTGTTCTGCCTGGATTCCAGTCCCAGCCCCATGACTTTCCAGTATGTGACCTTTGGCAAGTTCATGAATCTCTCTGTGTCTCAATCACTTCACTTGCAGAATGAAGATAGTGATTGTAGCCACCTTCTAGGACTGTTGTGAGGATAAAATTAGTTAATATAGGTAAAGCACTTAAAATAGTGTATAACATTTTCGGCTGTTACAGCGTCTGCTGGGGTTACTCTCGCCATCATGGCCATGATGGCCTTCTCCTAATCCGTTGTCTTTTTTACATACCAAGTCCCAACAGAAGGTCCAACATCACTCGGTTCCAGTTTAAAAAGTCCACACTGTGTTTTTCAACCCTCATACTATGAATGTTTTGGTTTTGTTTGTTTGTTGTTTTTTAAGGCAGATTCCTAGAACTTAACCCCATGAGGCCTTCGGTACCACCCATAATTACATATTTTCGGGCAACCTAAGTAGTTCCAGTACAAGCTGTCTGTGGCCACACTTGGAAAAAGTGCCCTATAGAATGTGTGTGTGTGTGTGTGTTTCTGGCTTAGGGCTTCACTGCCATTTGAAAGACGGTAGTTGTCTAAAGTGTAACCTCTAGAAGAGTAGAGTTTACTAGAATTTCCACAACAATAATAACAATGAGTACACCGGATCAACTGTTTAAAGTGCTGCCTACTTAGTTTTGTTTTAGGTGCTGTATCTCCAGCTGTCGTGGTACCCTCAATGCTCCTTTTGCAGGAAGGAGGCTATGGGGTTGAAAAAGGCATCCCGACCTTACTCATGGCTGCTGGCAGCTTCGATGACATTCTGGCTATCACTGGCTTCAACACATGCTTGGGCATGGCCTTTTCCACAGGTAAACTGGTCAGTTCACAATGAGCTGTTCTCTTGTGCCCTAAAGACATAAATTATGATGTGACAAGCAAGGCATATTTGCTTGATAATTGGGTAAGGCAGACTGAAATAGAGAAAGCAACTCCAAGAGTTGGTTCTATACCTAAGGAGGGACCGGTAGCTTCCTATTTTACTCCCTTAACCCTCTGGACATGGACTGTTCCAGTGGTCTGGTAAGGCATTAGTGGGGGATCCAGAGTAGCCAAGTTTAAGGAAGGATTCGAATAGCTTTTGCATGGAGCCTTCTGGGAGAGTTAAATCTTGCAGACTTCACACATAGATGGGTAGGTTTTTCAAAGAGCACCAGTGACTAGAGAGCCATCCAAGGGGAAGGAAGAGCATTCTTTAAAGAACAGTTTCTCCTCTCTTCTAACATTTTTGGGCAATAACTGCAATGATTTTAATGGCTATCTTATTAGTACTCACTAAGTGTCTGATATGGATGTATTTTGTGCTAAATAGTAATAAAAGAAGGGCACAAGGCACTTTTTGTCTCACGCTATTATCAACACTTTTACTCTCCTTTGGCACAGCACAAGTTTCTTTTTAATCTATGTCCAAGATCAGGAGATAAGATTTGCAATTCCATATTATTGACAAAACTTAATTGTAGCCTAAGTTTAGTTTCCAATATGGGAACACACTTTCTTGGAAGGTCATGTGTTTTCAGTCTCTCTAGTTATCTTCCCGTTTTACAATTTATGCTGATTACCTAGAACCTCACTTCTTCCCCATTGCCCTAAAGTTGCCTTACATCCAGTCACTAAATTATTCTTAGCAAAACATGGTTCTCATAGTGTTAGTTACTTTTTGGCACAAGAACCAATGAGTATTCCCTATTATCTATTAGGTCAAATTTACACTCTCGTCTTTATTTTCATTCTACCATACGTGTCCAAATTTATGTTTTCACTGATATCCTGGTATACTTCTTTCTTTATTTTATTTTTTTATTGTTTTCTCTTTCCCAGCTTTATTGAGGTATAATTGACAAAACTGTAAGAGATTTAAAACATGCGGCATGACGCTTTGGTATACATGTATACATTGTGAAATGATCCTCCTGTCGAATTAAGTAACATTTCCATCACCTCACATATTTACCTGTTGTTGCTGAGAATATTTAAGTTCTACTTTCTTAGCAAATTTCAATTATCCGATACAGTTTTATCAATTACAGTTACCATGTTAAACATTAGATTCTCAAACCTCATTCATTTTATCTTGAAAGTTTGTACCCTTTTAACAGCCTCTCCCTGTTTCCCCTACCTCTTAGCCCCTGGCAACCACTTTTCTACTCAGTGTCTGAGTTCAACTTTCTGTTTGTTTCCATCTTTAAAACAGTGGTTCTCAACCTCAACTGCACACTAGAATTACCTGGGGAGCTTTCAAAAATACTCATCTGTGGGCACTACCTCAGACCAATGAAATCAGAGCTTTTGGGAATGGAAACCAGGCATTAGAGCAAGAGTTTGCATTAGAACCAGAGGGGAGGGGAAGGAGAGAAATGGGGGAGGTGAGGGGAGGGCTTACTGGGGTTTTCATAATCCGGGGAGTGTGGGCTATGGATAGTTTAAGAACTTTCCTAGTCAGCAATGCTATGCTCCCTCTGCCCTGCTCCACTAAATGTATTCCTTAAACATTTTGGGTGGGAACTACCTGGAACGTCTTTAAAATGTGGATCCCAAGCCCTGCCAGGCTTACTGAATCAGAAATTTTACAGGTGCGCCCAAGAAGTCTTTTTTTCTTTCTAAGCAACTTTACATACCAGAGACTGAAACTAATTAGCTAATTTCTACACATTTATAGTGAACTATTTACTGTAATTGCTTGAGACATAGGCTACTATCACAGCTAGATGCTTCTGACAGTCACAGCATTACCTAACATAGAGCTGCCCTAGCTAAATAAAATTACTACAGAGGTAATTATTTTTTTAAATAAGAGAGATGATTGAAACTCTCAGAAAGGAAAGGACCTACCCACCATAGGTCCATTGGCTGGGGCCCTGTAAATCAGACTGACAAAAGACAAATTAACAAAAGAAAAGCAGTTAGCCTGCGCACCAAGCTTGCAGAGGGGAGAACTCAGTGATGACTATCTCAAAGGGGTGATTAGGATTTGGGCTTATATATATAGCATCTTAGCAAAGAACAATAATTTTGTAGAGACGTGCAAGACAAAGGAAAAGAACTTTGAGTTTTTGGAGGTAGCAAATAGGGACACTAATGGTAGCTAGGGCTGCTTCTAGCAAAGTTGGTTACACAGATTCTTCTGGTGCTGTCTTTGGGCTGATGAGAGTCTGAAGTTGTCTCAGTGGTTAACTCTGTCCTTTCTGGTAGAGGGGAGAAAGACACTTTAAAAATTTATGTCCTCCTTTTAGGTAGATAGGAGAAGATAGACATCTTTTCTTGATTCTGTTTCTTCTCAGTTGCCTTCTGCTCAAAATAATCCTTATGCCAAAGTGGCATACCTTGGGGTGGCATGTTCGGTTACCCTAAACTACAATAACAAGAAACCACATAACTAGTTAGCACATTTTTTCTTAGAACAGTGTGGACTTCTTCCTTGCTGATTTCGATGCCTTTTACTTCTTTTTGTTTTCTGATTGCTGAGGCAAGGACTGTGTTAAATAACAGTGGTGAGAGTGGACATCCCTGTCTTGTTCCTGACTGTAAAGTAAAAGCTCTCAGTTTTTCCCATTGAGGATGATATTAGTTGTGGATCTTTTGTATATGGCCTTTATGACGTTGTATGTTCCCTCTATCCCTATTTTGTTGAGCATTTTTGTCAAGAAAGGATGCTGTACTTTGTCAGATGCTTTATCTGTATCTATCGAGAGGATCATATGGTTTTTATTCTTTCTTTTCTTGACGTGGTGTATCATGTTGATTGATTTGCAAATATTGAACCACCCTTGCAACCCAGGAATAAATCCCACTTAATCATGGTGAATGATTCTTTTAATGTACTATTGGATTTGATTTGCTAGTATCTTGTTGAGAATTTTTACATCCATGTTCATCAGGGATATTGGCCTGTAATTCTCTTTTTTAGTGTGGTCTTTGTCTGGTTTTGGGATCTAGGTAATGTTGGCCTCATAGCATGAGTTTAGAAGTTTTCCTTCCATTTCTATTTTTTGGAACAGTTTGAGAAGAATACATATTAAGTCTTCTTTAAACGTCTGATAGAATTCCCCTGGGAAGCCATCTGGCCCTGGACTCTGGTATGTGGGGAGATTTTTGATTCCTGATTCAATTTCTTTGCTGGTTATTGATCTGTTCAAGTTTTCTATTTCTTCCTATTTCAGTTTTGGTAGTTTATACATCTCTAGGAATTTATCCATTTCTTCCAGATTGGAAGAACGCCAATTTGTTGGCATATAATTTTTCATAATGTTCTCATATAATTATTTGTATTTCTGTGATATTGGTTGTGATCTCCCCTCTCTCATTTTTTATTTTATTTATTTGGGTCCTTTCTCTTTTTTTTTTTTACTAAGTCTGGCTAGGAATTTATCAGTTTTATTAATTTTTTCAAAAAACCAGCTCCTGCTTTCATTGATCTGTTCTACCAGGTTTTTTTGTTTGTTTCTATATCATTTATTTCTGCTTTAATCTATACTATTTCCCTTCTTCTGGCTTTAGCCTTCATTTGTTTTTCTTTTTCTATCTCCTTTAGGTGTAAGGTTAGGTTGTGTATTTGAGATTTTTCTTGCGTCTTTAGGTAGGCCTGTGTTGCTGTATACTTCCCTCATATGACCACTTTTCCTGCATCCCAAAGGTTTTAGACTGTCATGTTTTCATTATCATTTGATTCCATGTATTTTTTTTAATTTTTTCTTTAATTTCCTGGTTGACCCATTCATTCTTTAGTAGGATGTTCTTTTTTTTTTTAAGATTTTATTTTTTATTTATTTATTTAGAGAGAGAGTATGTGAGCAGGGGGAGAAGCAAAGGGAGAGGGAGAGAGAGAGAATCTCAAGCAGACTACACGCTGAGTGTGGAGCCCAGTGCAGGGCTCAGTTTCACAACCCTGGGATCATGACCTGAGCTGAAATCAAGAGTCAGACTGAGCCACCCAGGTGCCCCTAGTAGGATGTTCCATGTATTTGTGGTCTTTCCAAATTTTTTCTTGTGGTTGACTTCAAGTTTCACAGTGTTGTAGTCAGAAAATATGTGTGGTATTATCTTAGTCTTTTTGTACTTTTTGAGGCCTGATTTGTCATGGAGAATGTCCCATGTGCACTGAAAAGACTGTGTATTCTGCTGCTTTAGAATGAAATGTTCTGAATATATCTGTTAAGTCCATCTAATCCAGTGTGGCATTCAAAGCCATTGTTTCCTTGTTGATTTTCTGCTTCTGATGATCTGTCCACTGATGTAACTGGGGTGTTAAAGTCCCTTACTATTATTGTATTTTTATCAAAGAGTTATATTATGATATTTAAAGAGGCTATGCAACAAATAAACTCTCCTGGGAGCAATTTCAAAAATAATTTGTTTTCAGATTTACTTTTAGAAATAACTTTTGAGGGATGCCTGAGTGGCTCAGTCAGTTAAGCATCTGCCTTTGACTCAGGTCGTGATCTCAGGGTCCTGGGTTGGAGCCCCTCATTGGGCTCCCTGCTCAGCTGAGAGCCTGCTTCTCCCTCTCCCTCTCCCCCTACTCCCCACTCATGCTCGCGCTCTCTTTCTCTCTATCTCAAATAAATAAAGAAAATCTTTAAAAAGAAAAGAAAATAACTTTTGAGAAAGGATAAGTCCCCTTCACTCATTGTAGTAAGAAAAGATTCTTGGGGCTCCTGGCTGGCTCAGTTGGAAGAGCATGTGACTCCTCATCTTGGAGTTGTGAGTTTGAGCCCCACGTTGGGTGTAGAAATTACTAATAAATAAATAAATAAAACTAAAAAAAAAAAGATTCTTGATTTTAATTGCCAGATTTTTAAGTTACTGTGTTCTATACATATCAGAGCTACTAAAGTCAGTATCATTATTAGTAAAAAAAAATAATCAGGCTCTTAAATGGCAATTTGAAAACCAGATCTGTCTTCTCACCCAGTCTTTGCCTATTGTATAGTAGAACAAATTAGCTCTGATTCATGAATTTTATCTTTTATGTTTTCCTAGGCCCTTTAGGTAAATTTTTATTGAAGTAAATGAAAAAAAAAGTACACAAATCATAGATTTTGCCTGTCTTGAAATTTATCTGCAATAATATGCATAGCTTTCTTATACTATAGGCCCATTTTATTAGGCATTTTAAGTCACATATATTTAAGAATGTAGAGAGCAGGAAATATCTGTATACTTTTCCTCCTGTGTAATTAGATGCTTTATGTTGATGATTAAAGTAAATTCTAAGTATTTATGGATGTAGAGTTCTGTCTGAAGTTTTTCTTTTTATATGTTTTTAAGGCTCCACAGTTTTTAACGTTCTCAGAGGAATCTTAGAAGTGGTAATTGGTATGGCAGCTGGATCTCTTCTTGGATTTTTTATTCAGTACTTTCCAAGCAGTGACCAGGTAAAAGAAATAATCTATGGGAAAGTCATTCTTTAAAATGTCATTGGAAAAACATTCTGGAACGGTCCCCTGGAAGCCAATGTGAAGAACATAATTTAGAAATGGCTCCCCATTCTAAAACTGCTTATTGCCAAATCAGTGCTATCCATGAGATTTATGAAGAGGGTTAGATATACTGTTGACCCTTGAACAGTGTGGATTAGGGGCACAGACCCCCACATCATCAAAAATCCATGTATAACTTTTGACTCCCCAAAAACTTAACTACTAATAGCCCACTGTTGACTGGAAGCCTTTCTGATAACATAAACAGTTGATTAACACGTATTTTGCATGTTGTATGTATTATACACTATATTCTTACAATAAAGTAAGCTAGAGAAAATGTTATTAAGAAAATCATAAGGAAGAGGAAATACATTTATAGTACTGTATTTATCAAAAAATATCTGCATGTAAGTGGACCTAGTGCAGCCCAAACCTGTGTTGTTTAAGGGTCAACTGTATAAGATTTTAATACAACCCTCGAATTTTTTTCTCTAATTTATATTCCATAAACTTTAAATATCATGAAAAATAAAACATCAATTCCAAATATGTAAACGTTTTTTATTGTTTCTATTTTTTATTTTACTATTATTCATAATGTTCAGGTAATCAAGATATAAAATGGCTTTTGGGCCCCTTTTTTTAGTATCAGCATACCTTACATTCTAATACTATCAAATACCTAAACCTTAACATCTCATTATAATATTGTCCAATATTTCTTACCAAGGAGATGAAAGTTCTTTATTATATACAATGATTTCTTAATATTCACAGAGTTCTTTTTGTTTTATTTTCTTTTACCCTCTTAAGTCTCTTGGAATAGATAAACATATAAAAGTCTTTTTTTTTCTATAAGAGCTGGCATTATTTTGAGATTTCAGGGCATTTTGAATGGAAACTTAACTAAAGTAGAACTTTAAGAAAATTAATATTTCCATTATCAGAAGGTATGCTGATTTGAATTTTTGCTATGCTCCAAAAAACTACAGCTAAAATTGTAAAAGATTTTATGACTACACAAAAGAAAATTATGGGATTTTCTAATTATACAACAAAATAAAGAGAAAAATAATGTCTTATATTTTGTTGCTTACTCTGTATAAAATGAGGTGGTAAGTACAGTAAAGTGCCACTCCATTCAATATGGCAGCAACTAGCTAGCTATGTGTGGCTATAGCAGATAGAGAGCATTTCAGGGGTGCATATATAGAAATTTCCATCATCACTGAATGTTCTTTTGGAAAGCACTGATCTAGAGCAATCACATAAATCTAGGCAATCTAGTGTAAACCACATAAGACCCATGAAGCAAGTACTGTTAATATGATCTTTTTGCTGATGAGGAAATTGAGATTTAGGGAGAAGTTGAACAAGTTCACATAGCTGGAAAGCAGCAGAGCTGAGAACCGAACTCTGGTGATCCACCACCAGAGCCTACATGCCTCCAAATCAAGCACTTCTAAAGACCTGCTTGCCTTTTAAAGTGATCAAGAAGCTTGGACCATGACAGCATTTTTCTAGATATATTTCCTAAGGCAAGGGAAACAAAAACAAAATAAGCTATTGGAACTACATCAAAATAAAAAGCTTTTGCCCAGTGAAGGAAACCATCAACAAAACTAAATGATATATCCAATAGGGTTTAATATCCAAAATATATAAAGAACTTATACAACTCAACACCAAAAAAAATAATAATCTAAAAATGGGCAGAGTACCTGAATAAATATTTTTCCAAAGAAGACATACGGATGGACTACAGACACATGAAAAGATGCTCATCATTACTTATCTTCAGGGAAATGCAAATCAAAACCACAATGAAACATCACCTTACACCTGTTAGAATGCCTAAAGTCAAAAAGACAAAAAATAACAAGTGTTGGCGAGGATGTAGAGAAAAAGGAATCCTTGTGTACTGTTGGTGGGAATGTACATTGGTACAGCCACTATGGAAAACAGTATGGAAGTTTCTCAAAATATTAAAAGTAGAAATACCATATGACCCAGTAATTTCCACCACTGGGTATTTACTCAAAGAAAACACTAATTTGAAAAGACTGTGCCCCCCTATGTTTACTGCAGCATTATTTACAATAGCCAAGATATAGAAGCAACATAAGTGTCAATTGATAGATGAATGGATAAGGAAGGTGTGATATATATACAATGGAATATTGAGCAGCCATAGAAAAGGAGGAGATCTTGCCATTTGCAACAACACAGGTAGATCTAGGGGGTACTATGCTCAGAGAAATAAGTCAGACTGAGAAAGACAAATAGCGTATGATTTCACTCACATGTGGAATCTAAAAACAAAACAAATGAATCAATAAACAAAAAGCAGAATCAGAACTACAAATATAGAGAACAAACTGATGTTGCCAGAGGGGAGGGGGAAGGGGAGCAGGCAAAATGGGTGAAGGGGAGTGGGAGGTGCCTCTCTTCAGTTATGGAGTAAGTCACGGGAACAAAAGGCATTGCACAGGGAATATAGTCTGTGATACCGTGGTGGTGGTGTGCGGTGACAGCTGGTAGCTACGCTTGCTGTGAGCAGAGCCTAACATAGAGGGAAGTGAATTCCTGGGTTGTACACCTGAAACTAACAGAACATTGTGTGTCAGCTACACTCAAAAAAAATTAAAAATCATTTTAAAATTTAAAAAGAGTGATTAAGAAGTTTAAAAGGCTGATGAGGGAGAAATAAAGGGAGAGAGGTGCACATTTCTTAGACTTTGAAAACCAACAACAACAAAAAAACTACTCTCGGTCTATAGCTTCTTAAAGCTTCTCCGTTTTCAAGGGTTTAGAAAGAAAAACCAGGAGAGCATCACATTAAAGAGTCAAGAGACTAAAAGTAAGAGATATCACATTTGTAACCTTCCCCAAAACCCTATACCATAACTGCTTTCGGGGAGGAGAAAACAAAGCCTGAAGAAGCTAGGTAATGGGAGCACTCCATACGCCAGGGGTGAAAAAGAGCTGGATTCTAACTCCACTCTGTCTGGCTCCAAAGCCCATGCACTTGTTTCTGCGACTTCATCCAGCCCTGTGAAATTCGACTTTGATAACTGTAGAGGAAGGTAACTAGAGTTTCTGAAAGAGGAACCAGCATCTGTACGTGTGCTGACCCTACTTCTATGAAGGAAAAGATAGTAAATGTTACGGTGTACATTTATGGGCACAGACAGATGTTTTTATTTCCCACTAAGTCCTGAATATAGAAAAATCAATCATTAAAAATCAGTTATATGAAATAACAGACCTAATCAACCTTTTTTCTCTCCTCAAGGACAAACTTGTGTGGAAGAGAGCATTCCTTGTTTTGGGGCTGTCCGTGCTAGCTGTGTTCAGCAGCGTGTATTTTGGTTTCCCTGGGTCAGGAGGACTGTGCACGTTGGTCTTGTCCTTCCTTGCAGGCTTGAAATGGGCCGGTGAAAAGGTGAATTTCATTCTAAGTTCTTCTACTCATTTAAGTTCTTTCTGATCAGATAAATTTTTTCTTTCCAGAGACTTTCTTTTTTTTTATTATTATGTTATGTTAATCACCATACATTAGTTTTTGATGTAGTGTTCCATGATTCATTGTTTGTATATAACACCCAGTGCTCCATTCAGTACATGCCCTCTTTAATACCCATCACCAGGCTAACCCATCCTCCCACCCCCTCCCCTCTAGAACCCTCAGTTTGTTTCTCAGAGTCCATAGTCTCTCATGGTTTGTCTCCCCCTCCGATTTTGCCCCCTTCATTCTTCCCTTCCTGCTATCTTTTTTTTTTCTTTTTTAACATATAATGTATTATTTGTTTCAGAGGTATAGATCTGTGATTCAACAGTCTTGCACAATTCACAATGCTCACCATAGCACATACCCTCCCCAATGTCTATCACCCATCCACCCCATCCCTCCCAGCCCCCACCACTCCAGCAACCCTCAGTTTGTTTCCTGACATAAGAATTCCTCATATCAGTGAGGCCATATGACACATGTCTTTCTCCACAGGCTTTCTTAATATCAAGTTAATAAATTATTAAATCATACACGCTATTTTCTATGCATATGTAAATATATGCCCAAGTGTATACACATTCATCCTCTTTCCCCTTATATACCAATCAATAATTTGATATCTTTACTTAAAATATATTATGGTCCTGTTTCCATGCTGCCTTCCTTACTCTTTGGAATGGCTATAGAGTACTGCCGTGTATGCTGTACTATATTTAACCAGTCTCCTACTAACAGATATTTGGATTGTTTCTGCTTTTCTGCTAAGACAAAAACCATTTCAATAAAATATCCTTCATATGTCATATTTCATAAACTCTAAGACATTATCAAGTCTAAGAAGCACCATTATTTTACACGCCACCAAGAATGAAAAACAATGCTGCCAATTAAACTATGATATGACATCCTAATTTCAGAAATGAGAAAATGGGGAAAAAATCAACAAAATATATACTTTGAGTTTATTTAGAGGATAAATTTCTTTTTTCTTATTTTATTTTTTTAAAGATTTATTTATTTATTTGACAGAGAGAGACACAGTGAGAGACAGAACACAAGCAGGGGGAGTGGGAGAGGGAGAAGCAGGCTCCCCGCTGAGCAGGGAGCCCGATGCGGGGCTCAGTCCCAGGATCCTGGGATCATGACCCAAGCCGAAGGCAGACCACTTAACCACTGAGCCACCCAGGCGCCCCTAGATGATAAATTTCTAGAAATACAATTCTTCTATGAAAGAATATGCACATTGATACTTTTAATAATATCAGTTTACCCTTTTAAAAGACTGCACCAATTTATATTCTCACCAACAGTATGTGAAAATGATCTCTTTTTCTTTTTTTAAATTTATTTTTTCATTTAAATTCAATTAATTAATATATAGTGTATTATTAGTTTCAGAGGTAGAGTTCAGTGATTCATCAGTGTTATATAACACCCAGTGTTCATTACATCACATGCCCTCCTTAATGCCCATCACCCAGTTACCCATCCCCCCCACCACCTCTCCTCCAACAACCCTCAGTTTGTCCCCTATAGTTAAGAGTCTCTTATGGTTTGTCTCCCTCTCTGATTAGTCCTGTTTTATTTTTCCCTCTCTTCCCCTATGATCCAGTTTTCTTTCTTAAATTCCACATATGAGTGGGGTCATATGAGAATTGTCTTTCTCTAATTGCCTTAGTTCACTTAGCATAATACCCTCTAGTTCCATTCATGTCATTGCAGATGACAAGATTTCATTCTTTTGGATGGATGTGAAATATATAAATATATATACCACAGATGAACATCTGAGCTCTTTCCATAGTTTGGCGACTGTGGACATTGCTGCTATCAACATTGGGGTGCATGTGCCCCTTCAGATCACTACATGTTTATCTTTGGGGTAAATAGCCAGTAGGGCAATTGCTGGGTCATAGGATAGCTGAATTTCTAACTTTTTGAGGAACCTCCATACTGTTTTCCAGAGTGGCTGCCCAGCTTTCATTCCCACCAACAGCATAAGAGAGTTCCTCTTTCTCTGCATCCTCTCCAACATCTGTCATTTCCTTACTTGTTAATTTTAGCCATTCTGACTGGTGTGAGGTGGTATCTCATTGTGTTTTTGATTAATATTTCCCTGATGCCAAGTGATGTTGAGCACTTTTTCATGTGTCTGTTGGCCATTTGTATGTCTTCTTTGGAGAGGTGTCTGTTCATGTCTTCTGCCCATTTCTTGATGGGATTAGTTCTTTGGATGTTGAGTTTGACAAGTTCTTTATAGATTTTGGATACTAGCCCTTTATCTGATATGTCATTTGCAAATATCTTCTCCCATTCTGTGAGTTGTCTTTTGGTTTTGTTGACTGTTTCCTTTGCTGTGCAGAAGCTTTTTATCTTAATGAAGTCCCAGTAGTTCATTTTTGCCCTTGCTTCCCTTGACTTTGGAGACATGTCTAGCAAGAAATTGCAATGGCTGAGGTCACAGAGGTTGCTGCCTGTTCTCTTCTAGGATTTTGATGGATTCCTGTCTCACATTTAGGTCTTTCATCCATTTTGAGTCTGTTTTTGCATATGGTGTAAGAAAATGGTCCAGTTTCACTCTTCTGCATGTGGCTGTCCAATTTTCCCAACACCATTTGTTGAAGAGACTGTTTTTTTTCCATTGGATATTTTTTCCTGCTTTGTCAAAGATTAGTTGACCATAGAGTTGAAGGTCCATTTATGTGTTCTCTATTCTGTTCCATTGATCTATGTGTCTGTTTTTGTGCTAATAGCAAACCGTCTTGATGATTACAGCTTTGTAATGGAGCTTGAAGTCCAGAATTGTGATGCCCGCAAGATTTGGTTTTCTTTTTCAAAATTCCTTTGGCTCTTCAGGGTCTTTTCTGGTCCCATACAGATTTTAGGATTATTTGTTCCAGCTCTGTGAAAAAAAAGCTGATGGTATTTTTATAGGGATTGCTTTGAATGTATAGACTGCTCTAGGTAGCATAGACATTTTCACAATATATGTTCTTCCAATCCATGAGCATGGAATGTTTTTCCATTTCTTTGTGTCTTCCTCAATTTCTTTCATGAGTGTCCTGTAGTGTTCAGAGTACAGATCATTGTCTTTTTGGTTAGGTTTATTCCTAGGTATCTTACGGTTTTTGGTGCAATTGTAAATGGAATTGACTCCTTAATTTCTTTCTTCTGTTTCATTATTGGTGTATAGAAATGCAACATATTTCTGTGTGTTGATTTTTATACCTGGCCACTTTGCTGAATTCCTGTATGAGTTCTAGCAATTTGGGGGTGGAGTCTTTTGAGTTTTCCACATAGCATATCATGACATCTGCAAAGAGTGAAAGTTTGACTTCTTCTTCGCCAATTCAGATGCCTTTTACTTCTTTTTGTTGTCTGATTGCTGAGGCCAGGACTTCTAGTACTACGTTGAACAACAGTGGTGATAGTGGACATCCTTATGGTGTTCCTGACCTTAGGGGAAAAGTTCTCAGTTTTTCTGCATTGAGAATGATATTTGCTGTGGGCTTTTCATAGATGGCTTTTATGATACTGAAGTAGGGATCCCTATACTGTGAAGAGTATTAATCAAGAAAGGATACTATACTTTGTCAAATGCTTTTTCTGGATCTATTGATTGGATCATATGGTTCTTGTCCTTTCTTTTATTAATGTAGTGTATCACACTGATCGATTAGCAGATGTTGTACTACCCTTGCAGCCCAGGAATAAATCCCACTTGGTCATGGTTCTTTCTGTGATTCCAGGGATCCTGAGACCACACCGTCCCACTTAGGATTCCACCCCACTTCACCACCTGAGCACCTTTCAGGTGGGGACGACCCTCACTGCAGCAGACTTCTGAAAGTTCCGATTTTGTGCTCTGTGCTATATCACTTTCCTATAGATAGCTTATGGAGGCTCCCTCCCTCTGGGGTTTATCTTCCCATATATCGCCTCAGATTCACTTCTCCGCACCTCCTACCTTGCAGAAAGTGGTCGCTTTTCCATTTGCAGAATTGTAGCAATTCTTTACTTAGATCTCCAGTTGAGTTCACAGGTGTTCAGGATGATTTGATAATATCTATCTGAATTCCTGGGACCAGACAAAACTAAGGTCTCCTACTCCCCCACCATCTTCCTCCTATCTCCCAGGGGTCTGTTTTTCTGAAGAAATCATTAAAAATCAGATATTTTGCTAACCTGATAGGTGAAAAATGTATCTCATTATTGATCTGATTTGCATTTCTTTATGAGAGAAGTAAATCATCTTTTCCTATGCTTACTAACCAGTTTGTTCAAAAGTTTGTGTCCATTTTTAAAAGATTGTTTTGCTTTTTCTTACTGATTTTCAAGATTATTAAGATTATTTCTCCATATATATTATGGAGATTAGCTGGTGGCCATTCACTAATTTTAATTTGAAGTACATTTTTATAGATTTGAACTTGACAGGAGCAAATACTATTCTTCTATTTAATGAAGAAATTAGATGTAGCTGACCTAACTAAATGCAGATATATCATTTTGGACAACCTGGAAACAACTGTTCAAAATGATTAAGCTTAAAATAATGCCATATAGAAAAATAAGTGAGGGTTATAAAGCTTGAAGTTAGGTACATAATCAAATTCATTTGAATCTCTATAGAGTATACTAGAGACAGAATTTCCTAGTGAGCAAAGAACACTCAGACAGGAGGATCTCACTCTGTAAGGATGTGACTACAAAGTTAGGACAAGTATAACTGAATCGTCTTCTTCAGAGGAGAGACGGATGGTAGGGACTGCCTGGAGCATTGTCTAGAGAAGGGTACTGAGGCCATGGGAAAGTGAGCAGAGATGGATTGGGCTTCGAAGGAGAGGAGAAAGTCCACATAAGAGTGAAATCATATGGTATTTGTCTCTGACTGATTACCTAGCTTAGCACAGTACTCTGTATCTCCATCCATGTCATTGTCAATGGCAAGAATTCATTATTTTTCATGGCTGAGTATTATTACCTCTTCTTTATCCCTTCATCAGTCAATGGACATTTGGGCTCTTTCCATAATTTGGCTATTGTTGATAATGCTGCTATAAACATCAGGGTGCATGTATCCCTTCCATTCAGTATTTTTGTACCCTTTGAGTAAACACCCAGTAGTGCAACTGCTGGGTCATAGGGTAGTTCTATTTTTAGCTTTTTGAGGAACCTCCAGACTGTTCTCCAGAGTGGCTACACCAGCTTGCATTCCGACCAACAGTGTAAGAGTGTTCCGCTTTCCCCTCATCCTTGCCAACACCTGTTATTTCATGTTTTGTTAATTTTAGCCATTCTGACAGGTGTGAGGTGATAATCTCATTGTAGTTTTGATTTGTATTTTCCTGATGATCAGTGACATTGAGCATCTTTTCATGTGTCTCTTAGCCATCTGTATGTCTTCTTTGGAAAAATGTCTGTTCATATCTTCTGCCCATTTTTTAATACATTTTTATTGCCAGTCTGTATGGTTCTGTGCTAGGCACTAAGTGGATATTCTCATTTATTTTCAAACACACACAAAAAAACTTCAAAAGTATTACCATTTCCATTTTATAGAGACTATAAATCAGAAAGGCATGAATAACATGTCCAAGGTCACAAAATTAGAAAGTTGCACTGGGATTTAAGCTCAGGTTTACCTGACTCCAGAGTGTACTACTCTGTAATACAACTGTAGCATTATTGTGCAGGGCACATTTTTGTATTTTGACATCTATTTGAATAACACATACCAAGTGTATTAAAAAACATATTGTTATGCTTTGCAATTTAAAATTAATTCTCTAAATTCATAAATTATAGGATAAAAAAATAAATAATGAAAAGGAGCCATAGCATTTGGGATAGAGCATAAAAGAGTAGTTTTAGCAACAGGGAAGTCAAGGGGGAGGCTAATGCCTATAGCAAGAGCGCATCAGCTATGGGCCCAGAAAGACAAAGCAGAGAAAGGGAAACTTTGATGAGCTCCAGTCACATTACTCTTCTGAAAACTATAATATGGGTTATAGAGAAAAGATTGTTATAAGCCAAAACACAGTGTCTGTTCGTCTGCAGTTGTCATAATTTTACCAGGTTTGCCTGCAGCCCAGCTGATTATATAGATCACTGTAATCCCACAACCCAGTAAAAGAACTGGGAACATTTTTTTTTTCATATTTACCTCAAATACACTCACTTTTTGAAAGCCTCTGTCATGTTTTTTTTTTTCCATCTATTTTCAAATACAGTGCTGCTTCTGATGACCTTTGTAGTTGTGGGATGGTTTTTCTGACATATTTTGAATCTCCTGAATCTTGAAATTCTCTTCTCTCTGAGAAGGGAAGTATCAGCTTAAATAGATATTGAAGTCATGATAAAAACCTCTGTTTCTGCTAATTTTCTTCTTTTGTGTATCCTTGAAAGTGATTTATGTTTTTGAAGATTCTTACTACTAGTGCAAAGTGATGTGTAAAGTAGCCTTAACATTCAGTGTGGACAACAGTCTTCATTCCGCTGGTCTCTTTTACACTTAGCCTATTCAATGACTCCATTTTCTTTATAAGCACATTCATTTTAGTTTTGAAGTTATGAAAAAGCATTAAGAACATACATTTTGACTCATCTCCCATTTTTAAGTTTTACAGTCTATACACCCATGTCTGATACTCAAATAGTCTGAATTGTTAACAATCATAAAACAAATGGTGGCCTTTGTCTACAGTTTAGAAATAAAAACAATTTGATAGGGAAAACTCTTGAGGCCATCTGCTTTCATTGGAGTTCTGAGTATTTTTGAGGCCTTCCCTTAAATAATTAGTCATGGCAACAAAAGGCTAAGTAACCTAAGATTAATAGAGTCAATTTGTGTTCTTCACTAACATGGATACCAACTAAAGTCTGAGCTTTAGTTATGGTATACTCTAAAAACTAAATTAAAAAGTAAAGATATGTGAAAAGGTGGTAACTGGACCCCAGTTTTGGTAGAACTAGCATTGTCACTAAATGATAAAGGATCTTGGATGTTATCTAATATAAACCTCTCATTTTACAGATGAGAAAAAATAAGGTTCTGAGAGATAAGTGGTTTGCGTTTAACAGGTGGCAGAATTTGAGCCTAAGTCATTATCTGATTCCTTAAGATATGAAAACGTAACTCTTTGCATGATATAGGAATAGAACTAAGAAGAATAGAACTAGAAGTAAATCAACCAACTCCCTCACATTTGCATTCTGCCTTTCAACATTTTTAAGCCAAGAAGAAATAGAATCCTCACCCTAATAAACATACCAGAATTAATAAAAAAATAAAATAGAGATACAATATAATCCTCCTTTGTTAAACGGCTGAAAATAGATATGGAAAACCAGATCCTCAAAGATGCATAACTATAAGGGCAAAAGTGCTGTCCAAAAATATAGATTCTTATTAGTTGATTGGAAAAATCTGTTCAGGATAAATTTTTAGAAAGTGTAATGGGTACTGGTAAATTGCCCTCCAAAAAAAGCATATCAATTTGTTCTACCAATTAGTGAGAGTTTCTTACATCCCAGATATTTGACATTATAAAAATGTTTTAGTATTTTTTCTCATATGGTGCCCCCCCAAAATGTGGCATATCATTTTAATTTGTGTTTCACTGATTACTGAATTTTAGCATCTTATATTTTTTGGCCATTTGTGTTTCTTCTGCTGTGAATTACTTGTATGTATGCATTTCCCATTTTTCTATTAGGTTCTATGTCTTTTTCTTATTGCTTGGATATTGCTCCTTATTCTGTCACACACAGTACAGATATTTTCTCCTGGTTTGTCATCTTGTTGTTCTTTGTTTGCTTATGGTTTCTTTTGCCACACAACATTCTAGTTTTGCTATAGTCAATTGTGTCCATCTTTTTTAGGGTTTTTGCAAAATGTGTTATAAAGTTAGTACTTATATCAGTTAGGATCTTACCAGGAAAGAGAAATTACAGAGTAACTGGAATAGGGAAAGTTTGTTATTAACCATACCAGGGGATCAGATAAAAAGGGATTGGCTTCTGAGAGGGAAAAGATCCCTGACGAATATAGGAAATAGCAGCTATAAACAACTAGGGCTGAGATTGAGCCATCCCCTTATACTACCCCACTCCACCCCATCTACTCCCACCCCCAGGCCTCAGAATCCAGATCTTGGTAGGAGCCTTTGTTCACTGAATGGTAGAGAAGACACCCTTGGTGCTCTGTTTGGACAATTTGCTGGAAATACACCCTCTAGGGTACATGGGGAGGTATTTTGCCCAAGGGATTTGGCTATGAAAGTCCCTTGCAGTAAGCTAGGGGCAGCTGCTGACTACTGGGTGCTGTGGGCTGCCATGCACTATAGGAGCCCAGCACTGTAGAAGCCACCTGTGTACTAAAGAAACCCAAGTATGCTATAGGATCCTGCTGGGGGAGCCCTGGAAATCAGGAAGAGCATCTTCCTTGTAATATTTCTTCAGCACCCTCTACTGACAAAATTTTAAATTATGCCAGGTAGCAAAAGAGAAATATTTAAAGGGCTCAGCTTCATTCTCTGCAGAGCAACAGTGAAATGTGGATTTGGAGCCAAGCGGTAATAAATTAATAAGCACAGCCTTTTACTATACCTGAATTATATTTCTGTGCATGATTTGAGACAAACTTAAACTGTTTTATATAAAGATAAAATTGGAAACAACTTAAAGGGCCATCAATAAAGAAATGATTGAATAAACTGATAATTCCATACCACAGATTACTATATAGCAATAATTAGATGTATATATAGATATGTTTACTATTATAAGATTTCTGAATGATATTGCTGAATGAAAATTAACACAAAATTTTACATATATGCACACACATCATATATTCAGAAGTAGAAGTCCTCCTAAGATTATTTTTTTAGACTCTTTATAATTAACATCTATTTGCAAACCAACCCTAAAGCACCTCATATAATGACTGTGTTAGAAATATCTTTATATAATTTTTTGTTCTATTTTAGCTAACCTCATATTTATAGATGCCAGAAAAATAAAGCCTATCTCAGGTCAAATTGACTCAAATTAGTAAAATTTTTAGAACTTGTAACTTCATATAATAAAAATCTGTGAGGGGTATGTGTATGTGTGTGTTTCTTTCAGGCAGAGGTTGAAAAAATTATTGCAGGTGCCTGGTATATCTTCCAGCCCCTTCTCTTTGGACTGATTGGAGCAGAAGTATCTATTGCATCTCTCAGACCAGAAACTGTAGGTAAGAATTTCAAATAGTACATTTGCTAAAATCAACTTTTATATTCAGTGGAATACCTTTAGTAGGTATAGTTATTGTCACAATTATATAAAAAAGTTAATAATAATCCAAGTCTCTTAGAGTAGTTGACCAGAAAATAATATTTGTCAATCTCAGGCATAAATTTTATACCTTTAATATTATTCCTTGTAAAGAAAAGTAACACTGCTACTACTATCCAGAAGATGCAGGTCTTAAAATTTTTTTTCCAAGGGCAAAAGTGTTCAATTAGACTTGTTCTGATCAAGGCCCAGAATTGTACAGATAACTCATCAGTTCTATAATATACACCCATGGAACACAAATGTTTATTCATTCATTCATTTATTCATACATTCAAAAGCCATCGTATTAAAACTTTTGATTTCATAACACTGCACTTAAAAATTTATTTGTGCACCTTTACTCATTACTTCCTCCATTCCACTCATTCTATATTCCTCCATCTTTACTGGGAATCCCATCTCCTGCTACCTCCTTCTGGACCTCACACATAGATTCTTCCCCTATGCTCATGTATCTTCAGATTTCCGTGTCACAGTTTTCTCCTCTTCGGAATTTAAACAAATTCTAATTTCTCCTGTCTTAAAATTAATGTCTTTCCATTCCAATACACGCTACAATGTGGATGAACCTGGAGGACATTGGTCACCAAAAGGCAAATACTGTGTGATTCCACATATGTGAGGTATCCAGGTAGTCAAATCATAGAAACAGAAAGTAGAAGGGTGGTTGCCAGGACCTTGGGGGAGGGGGAAATGAAGTGTTGTTTAATGGGTCAGTTTTGCAAGATGAAAAAATCCTGCAGACTGGTTGCACAAAAATGTGAATGTTCAACTTAATTCTGCTAAGCTGCACACTTAAAAATGGTTAAGACTGTAAATTGTGTTATGCATATTTTACTACAATGTATATATATAAAATCTCCTTTTTCCACTTAACCTGCCCCCCCCCACCTACCACACTTCGTTTTTACTCCTCTTTTCGAACTTTTCCAAAGAGGTAATTATATCTCCCTTTTCCATTTCAACTCTCACTCTCTTCTTCAATACATTTCAGCCCACCTTCTGCCCATCACACAACCGACCCTGCTTTCACCAAGGTTATATTGCTAAATGAACTGGATACTTATCAGTCTTCTTTTTTCCTTGATCATTCAGCAGCACTTATTGCTATTGACCTCTTTAAAACACATTTTACATTGAATTCTGAAACTTCATATTTTTCAGTGCATTCTGAGTCCTCACACTACATGTGGCTTAAATGCTGCTCTTCATCAAAGTTCTTCCAAAGCCTTCTACGCGTCTCACTCTATGTCATTTTTCTGAGCTCAACTACATTCAGTAGCTTTGATTATAAACTACATAATTCCAAAAGTTTTATCTCTAAATCAGTGTATCTGATTGCTGATTGGACATCACCACTTGTAAATCTCACAAAACTTCAAACTCAGTATGTTTAAAACTTCTAAATCCTCTTCTCTCCAAACCTTCAATGCTCCCTCCTGGGAATGGTATCATCTCTTTTGTTTCTTGTACTTCAGGCAACAAGTACTTTGAAAACCTACCAACCTGGGAGCAATATCCTTCAATAAAAAGCCACAACACTTTTCTGTAAAGAAGCCATATTGCAGATTCACAATAAATCCTCCAGCAATGTCTGATGTTTTGCTAGCCTTTTGAACTTGAGAAAGTCATTTATCCTTTCTAAACTTCATTTTCTTCAACTGTAAAATAAGAAAAATTACCCCACAGAATGTAGGGATTAGGTAATGAATGCACTTAAAGCTTAATACAGAACCTGGCGCACAGTAAACACTTAACAAATGTTACTTTTTAGAAAATTGTCCTACTACATAGCAGTCACCTTAGCTGTGCCTTTCTCAGGTGCAGTAGCCTAGTCACAGTCCTTATTGTGCAAATCAGGATGAACTTATCTTTATCAGCAAAGGATTCTAAAGGACAGAATGAAGTAGCTGTACATGTCAACCTGGGTTAATGGGCAGTCAGTGTATACACCAATATGGTGAAATAGGTGTAGACTGCTAGTCTCTATTCTGATTGGTCAGTGCCCAGCCAGCTTTGTTCTGATTGGCTGATTGCTTCTCTACCGGATAATAAATATTTTTACTCTGTAAACAATTCTGTAAAATATTAACTTTTTCCTCTTCTGTGATCTCTTACCAATATACTTATACTGCACTTACTTTATAGTATATTAATTCATTGTTAAAATTTCTGTTTTCCTCTGACTTTGAGATTTATAGAGGCAAAGTCTGTACATTATATATTTTTATATACCCAATACCTAGTCCAAATCCTGTAATGCATAGTTATCATTTAATAAATTCGTCTTGAATAAACACATGGAAGAAAGTTTGGTTCTTGCTATAAAGCATAAGAGAAATAACATTCATATCTCCTTTATAATATATATCAAATATGTTTAAATAATTTCTGGTTTAATCTAGGAAAAATACCTTCTTTTAAACAAATGGTTTGATCCTTGTTATTGATGTTTTGATAAATTATTCCTAACCATTTTTGTCTTCTTAATTTTTTAATATATTTAGATAATTGCAGTTGGTAGTATTTTGAATCAATAACCATGAGATTTCAGTTTCTCCCCCAGTACTTTATTATGTCTAAAAATTAAGTGTTTCTTACAGGCCTTTGTGTTGCCATCCTGGGCATTGCAGTATTGATACGAATTTTGGCTACATTTCTGATGGTGTGTTTTGCTGGTTTTAATATCAAGGAAAAGATATTTATTTCTTTTGCATGGCTTCCAAAGGCCACAGTCCAGGTAATGATGGATAGGATGCTTAGCATTTTAACTCCTATTTCTATATGATACCTTGAAATTTTAAATAAGACAACTTATTCAAATTTGGTGAAAAAATGTAATCGAAGTTTGATTTATGAAAAGGGCTTATACTAATCTATTCTTTAAAAGTTTTATTTTGGGGCACCTGGGTGGCTCAGTTGGTTAAGCGACTGCCTTTGGCTCATGTCATGATCCTGGGATCGAGTCCCACATTGGGCTCCCCATGCTCTGTGGGGAGTCTGCTTCTCCCTCCCTCTGCCTGCCACTCCCCCTGCTTGTGCCCTCTCTCTCTCTGTCAAATAAATAAATAAACTCTCTTAAAAAAAAGTTTTATTTTGGGTATATTGATTTCCTAAATATGATGGCTCATTCAAATTTATCTAGATCACCAGCTTTATTTAAATCAACTAAAAATCCAGTAATGCCTACACTAACTAGAAAGCAGTAGTCACAAGAAGAAAGAGTTTGAATTTTTATCAGTCAGAGCCCTCTAAATCACCCAGAAAGATAATTGTTAACCCTTTTCATTTCAATATCTTCCAAGAAGAGAGTGAAACAGAAATAGCATGACCCATCTTAGTATTTGGAAATACTTCAATGTCAACATGATTGATGATCAGTTATGCTTGACCACCGTCTTTATACATAAAGGAGAAAAATTTATTGAAAAACAACTGAGAAAATGCTTTATTGATTTCCTAGATTATTGGTTGGTAGTAAATTTTTCAAACTAGCTGAACATTCTGTCAAATGTATCAATCACATGACACAAAAATTATGCACTGTAATGAATAAGGCATGAACAGATAGGTGCTTGAAAGTATTAACCATGTATTTGGTAGAATTTAATTACTAATTAAATTGGAAGGGTATAGATTATTATTTGTTGCAAATGTAATATATTTCTGATTATGTTCTTTATTTTCAAACTAATTATAGCAAACAAGATTGGACTGTCTCCTCTCTGATTATTTTGCAATTGTTTAAACATGGAAATTTCTGTTTCATGAAGTAAAAATCAGATGTTCTTTTTTTTTTCTTTTTAGATTTATTTATTTGAGAGAGAGAGTGCTGGGGCAGAGGGAGAGAATCTTACTCAGGGCTCAATCTCACGACCCTGAGATCATGACCTAAGCCAAAATCAAGAGGCGAATTCTTAACCAACTAAGTCACCCAGACGTCCCAAAAATCAGATGTTGTAAATTTAAGAAGCTTTGGGGGATATGTATGCTCTATAACTATATGCCAGATTTTGTGTGGCTGTGGGCTTCAGCATTATTCCAGAGAAGTTTTATTTCCATCAGACTTTCAAAGAAGTCTGAGACATAATGGATAAAAATACTGTGAGGTTAGTAGTACAGTAAGTGGAATAGTTTCTCCCTAGGAGTGTCTACAGCATCCTTACTACCTCTGGTAACTTTAGTGGGTAAATACCAAAATAATCACTCTAGTGACTTTGGTATGAAGGATGTGTTCCTAAACATTAAAATATGAAAAATGGCACTCTGCTGCTACCAAAGCCAATTTAAAATAAGGAAACGTTATCAAGAACATGTTGAATAATGTATGTTCATCTAGTTGTAAAGACGGCTGAAAAACTCTCCATTTGTATAGTAATGTGACCAGCTGAAACTCAAGAATTCTATAATAGAAGAGTATATTCAGATATTTGTGGGCAATTAGTAGTCTCTGCCATGTGTCTCATGCACACTGATATTTTCTCTTCTGTTTCACTGTCCTAGAGGCTAACGTTGTTGTGCTCTATGGACTAAGAGAATAACCAGATTGTTTAATATGTTATTTTCCTATGTGCATTAATGTTGCATTTTGCCTGTAAAAGAAAATAAAAATTTTCATGAAACTTCCCAAAAGATAAATCTTAAATAAAACATTTTACCAACTCCTGAGACAAAAATTAACCAAATACCTAATAAGATTAACTTCAAGTTTTGAAGGTGCTTCGCATTTTCAAGTTTCATGATCTTTAACAGTTAGGTTCTAAAAGCAGTACATATTCTTATGTGGTTTCTTTTTTCATTTAAAACTTCACCACCTTCCAGTATCACTGCATTTTTTTCATCTTGTTTTTTCTTACTTTGAAATTACTAAAGATAAAAGAATGAGATGACCAGTAACTTTCATCTTTACTCAGGGCAAATTTAGTATATGGGATCATGTTCTAGTTAATTAATAATCATGTGTTGACTTTGCCTTGTCTTTTGAAATATATTTGCCTGATATTTTTGTAACCTTACCTTAAACAAATAGGTACATATGAATCATTATTCCTTCCCCAAGCAAGGGCAGGGAGAGTTTTCAGACAACCAAAATTCACTGCAGTATACTTTGAGAGAAGGCTAATAGAACTTTATTTAAAAAAAAAAAAAAAACTTTTTATTTATTTATTTGACAGAGAGAGACACAGCGAGAGAGGGAACACAAGCAGGGGGAGTGGGAGAGGGAGAAGGGGAAGCAGGCTTCCCACCAAGCAAGGAGCTCACTGCGGGGCTCAATCCCAGGACCCTGGGATCACAACCTGAGCCCAAAGGCAGACGCTTAATGACTGAGCCACCCAGGCACCTTCTAAGAGAACTTTCTTAGCTGAGCAAAAAAGACAAGCAATTTGTTTTTGCAAATGACCAAATAATTCACCTTTTCTCTATGCAATTATCTTATGTTTCCAATGTTACCTTAAACTTTTATAGGCTGCCATAGGATCTGTGGCTTTGGACACAGCAAGATCACATGGAGAGAAACAGTTAGAAGAATACGGGATGGATGTGTTGACAGTGGCGTTTTTGTCCATCCTCATCACAGCTCCAATTGGAAGTCTCCTCATTGGTTTGCTGGGTCCCAGGCTTCTCCAGAAAGCTGAACATCAAAATAAAGATGAAGAAGTTCAGGAAGAGACCTCTATACAAGTTTAGAGGTGAAAAGAGACAATGCTGAATATAATGATTAGAAAGCTTTTACCAACTAGCAGAGGCTATGTTATCTAGATCCATATTGAGATATGTGATGTTCAAACTTTAAATGTAATAGAACCAAAAGTGTGGCTATGTCTTGAAAGAGCATTTTCAACCATTATCCTTTTCATGTGGGTGTGTAATATTCTACATCTCCAACCTGATTTCTCGACCTTTTTTTTTTTCAAATACTTTGTCATTATGTATCTTAAATTTTTCGGTAAAATGTACTACCACAATTTAAAATTAACATGGAAAAGATCAAATTCAGCATCCTGTTCTACTAGCCAACAGTTTGTTCTAACATACTGCTACGGTCATAGTTTCATGATTCATGGTCACCTGACCACTCATGCTTTGAAATGTTTTGGGCTCCTCTTTTCTTTTTTATTTTTAAATATCATAATGCAATTCCTCATCAGTTTCTATCTGCACTTTCTGTGCCAATCTGCCTCTTCTCCATTTCTACCTCTCTTGCTACCTTTCTGTGAATTATTGTAACTGATTGGTCCCACCAAAATTCTCAAGTATGCTAAGTATCTTCATTGGTTCTTCCTCTTGGACCTATCTAGATTATCAAAAGACCTCCACCTCTCTCCTAGGTGGCAAAACAGAGTCTCCCATTTTAGCAGCCCATCTGAGTTTGCCTTCCTCTAAGGAGGGCCCTGATTCAGCCCTTTCTTATTTGTTTCTTGTGACCCACGTCTTCAGGCTCTTCCTCTTCTCTAGGTGAGAGATAGCTAATTTTCAAATCAATGCCAATCTCATGAACATAATATTAATTAGAGTAAGGTAAGCTGCTATAATGAAGAAACAAAAAAATAAAGTATTTGAAAGAAAATGGAAATTTATTTCCCTCTCATGAAACTGGCTTACTAGTTGATGCTGATAGGATTACTCAGCTCATGGGTCTGCTCAGAGACCCATGTCCTTCTCTCTTGAGGCACTGACATGTCTTAAGCTCTAGCTTAAAACATAGGTTAAAGATGAATCTCTCCCATGTCTCCTTTCTAGACTGCAGAAAGAAGTGGAGGGGTGGAATCTGAGGCAAGCAATTTATTTTTGAGGAAGTGATGTGGAATTTGGCCACATCTGTCCTCTTACCTTCTACTGGTGATGACCACACCCAGCTCTGAGAAGGTGTGAAAATATTGCCTCCCACTAAGCATTCATTGATGAGATACCTAGGAGGAAGGAAAGATCAGATTTGGGAGACAGGGGTACCATTGTATTGAGTGTTACCATCACTTAGTAACAGGCTTTCTAAAGATAATAACTTAAACTGAAACAGTGATTTCTGTGGCAAGAATTTCAGACATTGTAGCATGCCTGCAGAGAAGATAGTGGGAGAAAGGCTTACCTGCATGTGTCACATTTTATCCCACTTATTCAACAGACTATCTCTGCTTTTGTGTATCACCTTTAAGTTCTTCTTGATTCTAGGTCAACTCCTGCCTAGTTGCTAGAATAATCATGTTTGAATATAGTTCACAGCTTTTCTCATGGTGTATGTATACCTGAAGCATTTATTACTTACTTGTCATATCCCATCTAAATTCTTTAACCCAGAATCCAAAGTTCAGTCTAATCTTGAAGTAGATATTAAATATGTGTTAAATGAATAATTATAAATATTCTGATCCTACCAAGCTGATCTGCATAAAGCCTATCCATCCCTCTCTTGTCCTTAAACTACTATTCCAGACCCTTTCTCCATGACTTTCACCTCTGTTCAAAACCAGCTTAATTTTTATAAGGCTAATGTAATATGATGCCATAATAGCTTCATTTTTACATCAGCCTGAATTTGGTTATTCTATGGTCCTGTGTTTTCTTCTAGTTTATGCTCTTTATTTGGATTAATTTACACCAAAATTCAGATGGATATTTCAAATTGAACTTAATTGGTTAGGTGCACCTTGGTGGTAGCAACATAAACCCAATGCTCATCTATCTGGTCCTCTCCTTTGACAGGCTCTGAAACCAGATTCATTCAACAAATACTTAGTGGAAGCTTTTGATGACCTAGGCACATCATCAAAACTGTTATTGTTCCTGTCCTTAAGGCTCTGACAGTCTGATAGAGGAGATTTCAAAACAGTATAAGTGCTATGATGCAGGAAATATGGGAGTCTAGGGGGCTCATAACAGGAGCACCTACCTAATCCAGGGTTGATGCAGCTGGCACAGCTTCCAGAGAAAGTAGGGTCTTGGCTAGGATGTGTGTGTGTTGGGGGGGGGGGCGGTGAGTAGAACTGAGACAGCAAAAGGCATGTGACCCAGAAGGGTGCTGCAGTTAATGCCAGGTCCCGCATTCTCCAGTAGTTTTTGTCAAAGTAACAGGCATTGAATGCTTGTTAACTTGTACAAAATACAGTTAGCATAAGTAAATGAGAATGTTGTTATAAATAGTCCAGGCCCCAAAGAAGAATGAGAAGTGAAAATTCACAGTGTAGAAATGGTGGAAGAGGGGCGCCTGGGTGGCTCAGTTGGTTAAGCGACTGCCTTCAGCTCAGGTCATGATCCTGGAGTCCCAGGATCGAGTCCCACATCAGGCTCCCTGCTCAGTGGGGAGTCTGCTTCTCCCTCTGACCCTCTTCCCTCTCGTGCTCTCTATCTCTCATTCTCTCTCTCTCTCAAATAAATAAGTAAAATCTTAAAAAAAAAAAAAAAAGAAAAGAAATGGTGTAAGAGGCCATCAGCCACTGCCAATAGCCAGTTCCATTTTGGAGAGCATGCAGCGAGTTCTGTCCTCCCTCTCCTCAGTGGGCAGCCACCAACTAAATCTCTGTAACTGTCCAGTAGGGGCCTGGGCAGGGCTCACCATTGAAGTCTCAGGTTTATCACCACATTGTGAGTCACAACTGTCCACTTGGTTGGTGAACTCAGAGTTAACTTGATACAGGGTGTTGACTCGGGCCAACCAAACCTACCCCACCCCAACCACAGACAGAAACAATGACTCTACCCCCTGAGTCCTCGTAAAAGGGATGTATGTACCCCATACATACTTCTGCAAGAGCCCTTATAACCCTCTTTTCAGTTTATTTACATGCTTGTCTCCTATGAAACCAGCTCCTTAGGGGTGAGAGCCTTGTCTTGGTCGTCTTTGGATCCTCAGTAGTTTGCACAGGGCATGAAACACAGTAGGCATTTAATAAACATTTATCAATTGAATCACTGAGGGGATCCTCTTCCAGTATAGAAAACCACTTGCCACATAACACTTCAGATCTTAGTCTCCTAGCTCTGTCTTAGTCTGTTTGGGCTGCTATAAAAAGTACCATAGACTGAATGACTTAAACAACAGACATTTATTTTCTCATAGTTCTGAAGGATGGAAGTCCAACATGAGGGTGCTAGCATAATCAGGTTCTGGTGAGGGCTCTCTTCCTAGGTTGCTTATGGCCTCCTTCTTGCTGTGCCTCACATGGTAGGGAAAGAGATGAGAATGGGTGGGGGAGGGGGAATATGTAAGCTCTCTGGCATCTTTTCTTACAAGCACACTAATCCCATCATGAGGGCCCCACCCTCATGACCTCATCTAATCCTAATTACCTCCAAAGGCCCCATCTCCACATAACATCATACTGAGGATTAGGGCTTCAACATATGAATTTGGGGGAAAACAGTCCATTGCAAGGGTGTCATACTTCAAGGACACTGCTACAAAAATCACTGTAAGTACTTGTTCTACCATGTCCTTTTTTCCCTAGGGTCAGTGCCATCCATCTCTCCTCTGGGAGGTTTGTTTTTGTTTTTGTTTTTTGTTTTTTAAGCAGCTGATTAGGTTTCAGTTCTAAATTATTTTCACATTCCAATATTTTTCTCTCTGGCATTAATTCCAGATAATCTTGATTGGACTTGGGTGTCCTTAAAGTTTCCTCAGCCACACATTTGCAAATGATCTCATCCTTTACACTCTTTTAAAAATAGTATTATTTTTTCCTGATTGCAAAATAAGACATTTTCACTGCAGAAAATTTAGAACACAGAAAAGTACAAGGAACAAAACTGAAACTCAATGTAAACATCCATTTTATTTTGATTCTTTTACATTTTACTCTTGCAGTTCTAGAGGATGTCTTATTTTCAGAAAGATACATCATCCACTGAATTAGTTAGGTGAAAGGCAACATAAATACTTTATATTTAACTTCTGCGAGGATATACAGATTGAAGAACTTCTGCTGTGTATAATGAATACTGAGCCTTCCAAATAATCCTTCATTCACCTGGTAATATTCAAATATTCATTTTGCAATCAATAAAACAGACAAATCCTTACATTCACACACTCAAAATGCACTTATAATATGCTACTATGTGCCAGGCATTATGCTAAGTACCGAGGAATATAGCAATGACCAAGATGTTCAAGGGCTCCGCTTAATGGAACTTGAGTTCTAGTGGGAAACTGACACTGTGGAGAATACAAATATGAACGAGACATGATACTTGCCTTCAGGAATCTTATAAGGAAATAAGATATGTACAAATAGCTGTAATTCAAATGAATAATTCAAAAGTGTTCTAAGGAAAACTTAAAGGAGGCAAAACTTGAAATGGACCTTCAATGTGAATTGATGTATTAATATTAGAGAGTAAGGTGAAAAAGAAAACAACTAGGTCAAGGGTGGGCATATTAGAAAAGTTTGAAATAGTGAAGCCTGGAACATAGTAAATAATTGGCACTTAAGGTTAATAAGAGAATTAGTGACAGGTAGGAATGGAAAAGAAAATTGGCAGTTAAATTTTAACCAAGTTTGACCACATTTCTATTTTTATTACTTGACCACCTTTCAATTCATTGCTTCCCAATGTAAAGAACCATTTATATAGAAGATATTTTTAAGCTATTTTCATCATGTCAAATTTAGTGAAAAAATCCTCATTCCTCAAAAGTGTTTTGCTTTCAATGACCTGGTTGCAAATATAATCAACTTAACTACTTTTAAGTTACTCGAGTTTTTAAAAGAAAAGGTATCGATGTTTTTTAGATGTTTTTTAAACCATATTAAGTTTTCATCATGTTATCTTTAAATAAATGAAGGACATTATTTTTGAAATGTTTCAGAACATTGTATTTCTATATGAATAATTTATGTAGTTCTTTTTAACCGGTGGGAACTGCTTTGTGCCATTTTAGGAGCAAGTAACACAGGTTTTATTTTTTTTAATAATTTATTTTTATTAACATATAATGTATTATTTGTTTCAGGCGTACAGGTCTGTGATTCATCAGTCTTACACAATTCACAGCGCTCACCATAGCACATACCCTCCCCAGTGTCCATCACCCAGCCACCCCATCCCTCCCACCCCCCACCACTCCAGCAGTAACAGGTTTTGGTTGACAAACCCAAATTAAATCTCACTTGAGCCCTCTGTTCTGATGAGAATTCCAAAACCCCACTTGTTGATGTGCTCTCTATCCTCCATAGATGGACCCTAAAGCACTAACCTCTGCAGCAGTTCCTTGCATCTGGAGCACAGAGCAGTGCCCTAGAGGCCATCAGACTCCTCTCAAAAGCCCTCCTTCCCAGCTCTACCATCTGTACCGCCACCACCAGTACCCTGCTCTTCCCTTCCCTGCCAGGAGAACAAAGCATTTCCCTAACCCTATAATCACAAAAAATCTTGCCTATTCTCCTAAAACAAGGGAGAAAATAACTTTCAATCCTTGCTGAGATGTCTACACCATGCTAAAGATGAAGGAGAATTTTTGTATTTGATCACCCAAGAAAGAGTTGTCATTTAAGTCAGATTTTAAAGGATAACTAAGAAAAGGGGAAAGAGAACACTCTTGATAGAATAACTTCAGGGGCTCCTGAGCGGCTGAGTCGG